TTACCTTTTGCCTCGTGATTTGTTCACCAAGTCTATCATTCGGTTGGTTCTGGTCTGTAATTTGTGCACCAGCCTCCGTCTTGTCAACCTCTACTAAAAATTCGTCAGAAGCAAGGGGGCGCACTGGAGTGCTTGTCTTGGGTATTTCTTGAATTTTTTCACCATTATCTTCTTCTCTCTGTACTTTTGCTTCAGTTTTCTGCACAAAAGCTTCCCCAGATTTTTCTATCCCAAGGCTTGGTATACTGTACTTTCTTTGCAAAGAACTAGCGACTACTTGTGACCCACCTTGGCGTTTTTCGACACATATATCATTGCTATATAACCCATCAGAAGAAATATCCAACGGCTCCGTAAACAAATATGAGTGATCCGAGAAAGATCTGGACAGTAAAGAATGGTCGAGGCTGCGGCAATACGAATGGAAGCTTCGAGTTTTCTTTCTCCCCAGTGGCGTGCTTTCATCCTTGTCTTTAGTGGCGCCAGATGCAGACGCAGCATTGGCTGATGGTCCTATGATTTTATTGATTACATCTATTGGTTGCCAACGGGGTGATGGCACAAATGGCGATTGCGTCTCGACTATCTTGGTGGGACGGGTCTCGTGAGACGTGTCAGCTGTTTGGGTGAACCGTTCACTTACGGTTGGAGTGGCGTTCACGGCTGTAGAGCTCAAAGCCACTTGAAAAGGTCTTAAAAGAAAAAAAAATTAAAAGTTATCAACACCATAATATCGGTTTTCTTCCCCTATCTAAAATTGTGAAATGTAGGAAGTATATGTAATTCAGATTGTTTTATTCTCATTTATTTTGTAACTACATATTGATCAATATGACAGAGGGTTATGCAATAACAGTATAAATAAAGATTCTGCTTTTTGTATTTAAATAAAACACACAAATGCCCAATACTGAAAAGACCTATAGCAAAAGTTTCTTCTTTCTCTACCCACCTTTCTTTACTTGGACTGTTGGTTTCACAAGAGCTGAAGGAATTGCTTTCTTTGGTTTGAGTTTCACTAAAACTCGTCACATTCTTCACCAAAGTCTGTAACTCCGAAGCAAGCTGAGCCTCTTTTCGAGTAGAGCCTAGTCTTTCCGAGGCGGACGAAACTTGGTAAATCATATTCTGGAGCTGGTCAATCTGTTGTGCCATTGGTTGTCTAGGAAACCAATCAGAGGTTCTGCTGAGTTCATCAAAAGGTGCCATACTTTCTTCCAACATGGAGTTCTGCAAAAGAAATTGAAAATATTAAAAACTGCAATAAAAAACGATGTTAGAATAATACTTGTGCTTCAAGCATTGAAGAAAAAAGAACATTAAATTAGAAAATTGAGCATAAACGCTAGATGATGCACCAGGGTTGTACTTTCAGTAACATTATAAACGAAATTCTCATAAACTTGACGAAATAAAATGTATTGAATGTTGTGCATATTTTCTGAGGGTGAGTTGGTGTATAAATTCCATATGCTGTTCCTGTTGCGAAATAAAACAAGGCAGTCGCGTCAACAGCATACCTGCATTTCCGTCAAAAGCCGACCAATGTTCTGCTGTATTTCATCCTTCTCGTGTTTTCGAATAACCAGGTTTCTCCTAATACTGGTATTGGTGTACCGACTAAGCTTTTTAGCCACTTCTTTCATTGAACAATGTAACCCTGGAAACAAAGAGATGAATTTTACAATACAACAGGTATGAAAAAAAAAACAACATTTTTTGCTCTGTTTAATAATTACATGAACAGTTTTATGGCGAAAGGAGTCACCGGGATACTCGGTACGGGCAAGGAAATTATAATTATGCTACAAGATTTAAGAAATTAAACTAACGTAATGAAAATTAACTGAAAACGAAGATAAAATTATTAGAGTTGGGTGTGCAGATGATGTTTTCGGTTTCTGTGTACGTCATGTATTTATTTTTACTTAACGTAGCGTTATTATTATTATAATTATCAATTTCCTTCACCCATAAATAAATAAATAAATAAATTAATTAATTAATTCAAAAACAGACGTGTGTTAACAAACATACCATGGAGCGCACCGGGTGGAGAGGTCGAAGTTTCATTATGATGGAGATCATCAGGGTAAGTTGGCTTCGATGGCAGGGGCGAATGTCGAATCTCGCCCTCTTCTCTCTTGACCAAACTCATATTAGTACTCGACGCTGCTGAAAGATTTTTGGAGGTCGACCAATTTGTAAACTTCAGAATAGAAGAAATGTCTGTTATAGCCGATTTTATGTCATCGAAACCACAACTACGTTGGTTTCCAAAAGTAGATTTAGACAGTATTCGCTCGCCTCTCTTTTTGTCAGTTTGAAAATATATTTTCTCGACTTGATTTTCTCCCCTAAGTAGATGTATCTGCTTTTCCAGCAACAAACAAAACTTTTTCAAGCTGCTAGATTCCCAGTCGTGATCGCCTCTGGGAAGTAAGCTCGAATCTTGTCCGTTTCCTTTCATGTGTAATGGTTAGTGCCATAATCAAATTATTTACAAGGTTTCCATGGTCACAAAACTTCAAATTATTACGTCGAAGTCTTATGGCACGACAAAGCGAAATTGCCTAAAACGTTATACGACATCATGATAGTGACGTCATAGAGAGCTTGTAATCAATGACGTCATAATTGTAGTTTAATCAATGGGATTCTGGGAAAAAGATTATTGCAGGTAATACAATAGAATGTAAAAGAATTTGAAGATACTGTAATAATTATGTTAGAGTAACTGAAGATTAAATGCACCATTTATTCGTTAGCCAGGTATACAGCGACTTAAGAAATACTTAAATGAAAACATTATCATCCTACATGTGACAATGTTATTGTCTTTATCTTTTGTTTTACGCGAGGTAGTGAATACAACACCGTTATAATCTTTCATGTTATTTCTTAACTACTTCCTAGTTGATTCCCGAGTCGCTTTCTTTCCATTTCTACCTCATTCGATCGCTAGCGGCCTTCTCTCCGTTTACATTACACGCAGTTGTATAAGTATCATAAGAGAGAGTGTGTCAATCAACTCAGTTCCTCTACAAAACACTCCCCGTTTCTAATTTACTCGTGGCTGTCAATGACTAACATTACATTATCTCCCAGGGACGATATAGGCCTACCTGTCCCTAGGCATATTCAAAATTAAAATATACCTTCAAATAGCCCTTCTTAAACACTCCAGTTTTATCATAAAATAGTGCAAAAATATGGCAAGTAAATAACTTCTATATAATACACTAATATATAAAATAGAAACACATTCAACATGAAACCAAAAATATATCTCAAAGGAATAGCCTATAGGTGGATACATGATTGAAAAACGCTTGTTCGTGGACGTTTTTCGTATAGACATGACATTTACACTTTCTATGTGTGGCCCAAGAGTACTTTTTTTCATACCTTATTCTACTATGACATTAACCTGTAATTCTCTTATTATGGCTTTCGTCATGATAGATGTTGTTGGAATGTACTACATGAGGTGATCGGGTCATCCACTCCCTGTGCAATGAAGAGCGTTCACCACAACTTTGCGACCAGCGCATCGTTGATAGTGAAGTACCTGCTTATCTTCATAATTATCCAAACTGTAGCGTTCTTTTTGGTGACTATGAGAGAAGCAATTGTTTACATTAAATTCAATCCACGATTGTATAAAATTATGCCGAGAAATAATAAAGACACAAAAAAGTTAAAATAACCCTAAATGTATATATCATCGGCTTTATGTCATCGTCGTTACAAAATGAAAAATAACTGTAATATGCAAAAATTGTCTGATCAAATATCGATAATCAATTATCGTAAGGTTGATAAGCTGAATAAAGATATATTTATAATACGTCATGTATCTAATATTCATTACACAGTGCATAATGTGTCATTATAACCACATGCAATAATAACATATGACTCAAATGTTGAATTATGAAATAAAAAGTTCATCTTACACATATGAATAGTTTGGCATTTGGTATAGTTGCCCACATCCTCCAACATTTAACTCTAGCGGCCATCTGTACGTTGACATTACACGCAGCTGTATACATATTATAAGAGCATGTCAATTAACTCTACAAAGCACTCCCAATTCCTTATTCACTATTAAATAGCTGCCAATAAGTGACATTACATACAGAACAAAAGCTGGAAATCTTGGTGAGAAATCAAACTACAACTTTAGCAAAAAAATTAAGCGAAATTTCTTTTTAACCCAAAGAGTTTCTTTTTTTACTAATTGTTATCGTTTATGCAAGTAGGCCTAAGGAATGCAGATATCTAAACATGAACATACTTTATACACGATTAAAATTAAAAGGGATCAATTTCTACTTAAAATATTCTGTTTTATACAAATGAACTGTTTTTGTCCATTTTCTCTTTTTTAGAAGTATCTATTGCTGGGATAATGTCAATTATTTTCATTGACTAAAAGGGGAGTTTTCTCTCCTGGCCTCACGGGGTATCTCGCCTCAAGTAAAGCAAGTTTGAGACGCTTCCAAAAGATGGTTCGCTCACGCACGCGCTTTTTTCTGGGCCACTGTAGACAAGTACCGTGACGCAACATGGTCTTCAGAGGCTCTTTGAAAGTCTTCTTAGGCACCTTCTCTAAAAAGACAAAAATTATTTTGTCAACAAATCCATCAAAAAGTTTGACCTGTGCTAGGTTGATCTCCGTTTCGTGTAACTGACTTTCGAAGTACTCCCTCGTAAGCAGAAAGAGGATTCGTCGGCTTTTTTCCATGTTCGTTTCGACATTATCCACCAGGGGATCACCAACGATGTAGTCTCGATCGTTAATGCAAAGTTTAAATCTGATGTCTTCGCCTCTTTCTAAGTTTGGTATAAGGTGTTTCTTTATCCAAGTGACGCTTGTGGGAGAGTACATTGCAATGGCGTCATAAGTCTTATGTGGCTCACGTCCTCCCAATTTGCTTTTCTTACCGCTTGCTCGGTAGATGGCGTAAATGTAGAGGATGTCCCAGCGGAAGCTATAGAGGACAGCAGAGAGAAAAATTACAAAAAAACACGCATCCTCCCGATATGGCGGCCAAATACACACTGTGGTCATCGCAAGCGAACCATGAAGGACGAAACTCTTTAATTGGCGTCTTTTGTGCCCATTCGGGTCCAAAGCAAAGTTCCCTGGGACCCTGTACATTGACTGATGTGGTGGCAAGCCAAGACTGAAATGACCTAATGTTACAATCACAAATGATCTTGTTCCTCGCATAATTAAAGTTTTTCAAAGCGGTAAGGTTTGCAAACATGTGTCCACTTAACGTAAAAATCGAATTGTGGTCCAAATGAAGGTCGGTCATGTGCCTTTGGTGACGAAAAATCTCCACGGGAAGCGATCGAAGGCTGTTGGTGTACAAGTGAAGTGTGGTAAGATTCGCCAATCCGTCAAACATTCCAAGCGGCAATTCTGTCAGTTTGTTTGCAGTCAGGGATAAGTTACGTAACTGTCGTAAGGGCCTAAAGAGATCCTTCAAAATATCAGGATCCAGGGGTAATATTCTGTAAAACTGGTTGTTGTCGAGGTATAACTCTGTAAGTGTCGGGACATTCTTAAAGATGTCCGCTTTTTCTGAGAGATAAGCTCTGTTATTCTGAAAACAAATTTTTGTCAAACTTGGCAACATGCTCATCTGAAGATGTTTAGCCATGTTGAAGCTCTTCTTTCCGGTAACATCTGACATTTTCACAGTCTGTAGGGATACCAAGTTCCTCAGGACGATACTTTTACACAGGGAGTTTCCAGACAAAGTCAACGACCGTAGGGAACCATGGTTCTTGATAACACACTCCTCGTCGCCTGTTACTTTAAATGTAGACGACAAATCCAGCTGACTCAGTTTTGAGCATTTTACTAGAATTTCTGACAATACTTCTCCAAAGCTTCGCAGTTTGTTATTGGAAAGATTTAATGTCTGAAGTCGGCAAAGATTTACCAGTTGAAATGTCTCTATGTCACAATTGCCGAGATTTAATGTTCTGAGATGTTTAAGTGGCACAAAGGCTGTGTGGTGAACTACGGTCATTGGGTTTCCGTTCAGACTAAGCTCTGTGACGTTAGAATTACTCAAATGGACAAAATAGTCACCGGTTAAATTGTCGACATTTAATCCGATTTTATCGAGATGCAAAGAACTGACTGACACGAATTGCAAGCTTTTGGTGAGGTTTTGAAGCCCTATACATTTTAAGTCTTGACTGCTAGACTTGCAAATTGGGTTACCGGAAAAGACTAAGCCAGAGATATATTTAAAGTCAGCAAAAGCGTCAGTTTCCACGTGAGTAAGTTTATTCCTTTGAATGTCTAGTGACAGCCCATGCACGTGACTGTATGCCCTCATATCTTCTCGCGTGATTTTAATAATTACGTTTGCCTTTAGCCACACGTGTAACTTATTCGCAGAGCTTATTGATTTGTTAAGTCTCAAAGATGATATTTGGTTGCCCGATAAGTCTATTCTACTTAAGTATGGCAGCGACTTCATGTCTTCTGGCATCCTCTTAAGCTTTTTGTTTGACAGATTTATTAGTGACAAATTTTGATTTTTCGAAAACATTCCACTCGGTACATCGGTCAGTGCTGTGCTAGCCAAGTGCAAATTCTCGAGACTTTCAAGCCCCTGAAACATCTTTCTCCGCGCATCTTCAAATACATTACCAAGAATGTCCCTGTTGCCAGATAAACATAATGTCTTGAGACGTTTTAAAGGCCGTAAAAGTCCCGATCACATGTTCCTAAGTCCATTGCTTTTCAAATTTAGTTCATTTAACTGTCCAAGTGATTGAAAAGCATCATGATCAATCCTTTTTATCTGACATTCACGTAGACATAAAACCCGCAGTTCAGTTAAATGAGCCAAAGATTGCCTCTTCAAGTTTTTGAAAATGTTCCCTTTTAAAATTGCAGTTGTTGTGTTCGAAGGAAGTGTTGGAAAGGAAGACAAGTTCCTATGCGTGCAGTCAACTTTAAGGCCATTCCAGCTACTGTCCCGCGTCACCTTGCACGTGCGGTAAATATCGACGGGCTGGTAGGGCTTTCCTAGAGCAATGGCAGGGGCAAGAAGAGCCAAAGTGGACACACAGAAATGGATCCGTAGTTTAGATAAAGTGGTCGCTGAAGAGCTTTTGAGGCCCATCTGAAAACGAAATCAAAAGATCGATATCTTTCATATCACATATCACATATATTTCAATAGTTTTTAATGGAGCAGGCGGTTTCGAGGTTTGAAAAATCATTGATAAAAAACAAACCTTGTTTTGTTCTTTGATGCACCTTCCGTTTTAGCAAAGAAATCACGCGTTAACACTTTTATCTAAGTTTTTTCACGTACTGTGTGTACCAAAGCATTCAAGATATCGGTATTAATACAGGAAACCCTAAAACGGCTCTCAGATTGCGAATACGCTCCGTATTGGGGATGCAAACTGTTTGTTTACCTTTCAAACCCCCCTTACTCTTGACGCACCCGCTAAAAAACAGTAAGTTATGTCGTCGGCAGCGCTGTGAACTAGTCCGACAGACAAGTCTTATCTCCCTGGCTTCCTGTTGTGCCGCCGTGAAATCATTCGACATGCACGATTCTGTGCAGTGGCTCAAACACAGCACTTATCAAAAACGAAGATAGACTATCGCCTGACTTTCCGTTAATTATTAGGCATGGCATACCAGAAACGCTGAATGTGAGGTAACTCTTACACAAACTAACTATAAAGATAAATTAATTCCCCACTGCTAAAGATACTACTGCTCCGGTGCTCCCCAGCAACTTCCTCCATAGACCCCATAATCTTACCTCTCAACTCAAAGTGTTCTTTTGATAAAAACGTGCGGGTGGTGGTTGTGGTGCATGGGGGTACTGTGGCCGCAGCCAACTTAGTACAAAAATGGCGGCTTCGAAAAAAATGGGGAGGTATTTTTAGAGAGTGTACACCTTCAAACCTTCAAATATATGTTTATTGCAAAAAATGCATTATCACTTTATTTTCATTATTATGCTTCAAACAAAGAATGAAGGTTCCTTCAAAGTGCATTGTAGATCAGCGTTCCAGTGTACGCGCGCAGACAAGTTTGCCCATTGATGGCCTAAGGCATGATGGTACAATGTAAACTTAAAGGTACATACGAACCGAGCATCGGTGGAGTGTGGATTCCCAGTAACACATGTAAACCACTTCTACTAGATTCTTATATGACTCAAATAATTTCGACATGCCAAGGGATAAACTGAAAAGATCACTCGATCGGCCATAAAAGACCTTTAGACTGCTCCTTTCTTTAAATTTATGGTTGTAAATTTAACCTTCTTCCGTGACCTACTTTCCTGCCCCATTGACATACAGCTTAGAATACCAGCAGAAAAATCTGTTCAAACATCACTTTGGGGTAAAATTAAACAATGCCTTTTGGTAATTCTCTTAGTTATACTACTTGTAACTATATGCTGGCATTTGGTTGGTTTTTGTGACAAAAATTGACTTTGTATGCATCTTTAATGGCAACAAGATGCAAGGACACTGTCAATGAAAATTGGGAGGTATGAATAGGTTGCCTTCAAAATTTCCTTCATTTTTTTCTCTTCAAAGTAAATGTATATTTTGTTTGTCTAAATACAAAAGGCTAGCTGTATAATAACGAACTCATTTCAACGCTTGTGTACACAAAACATAATAATGAAATTTGGGTCCCACTCTTATACTCCCCGCCCTAGTTCAAACTGACAACATGTTGACGACAGCAACGACCCCAAGTGACAATTAACGATTGGGAAATAAGAGCGGGCAATTGTGAACGTGTCATCACTCAACAGAGCAGCGGGAAGGAAGTATTACGTCCCTATAAAAATGAACAAAAGCCGCGCATTTCTTCGAGGAGTCGCCCTCAAATCTCACGGTGATCCTACGATAATGTATCGCACTTGAGGATATTTTCTTTTCTCGACCAAAACAGGGAATGCTACGTTTTTCTCCAGTGCCATGCTTCTGTGAATTCCTGCGCGGTTGCAAATTGTCGTCAGTTGCGATTTTCAATCTAATATGCTAATGATCTTATTATTGCTTTACGTTTATTGGCATGTGTCCTGCAATAATAACGACGTTCATGCCTACGTGGTCTTAAAAGGGCGCTGTGAAAACCAGGAAGTAGATCGCGCCAAACAACTCGCAGTGACTCACTATATATCGTCATGCAATGATTTGTTTTTATTTTCATTATTGGGATCAGTTTTGAGATTACTAAAAATCAAGTTGACATGTTCATTCCAAATTACATCAAACCAATAGACCTACACTGTACTACACCGGGATACACAAAAATGCCATGATAAAGACGGCATTCTGACGTTAACTGAAATAAAAATCACAGGCACGGGAGACTGGCAATCGATTCATTGTCGTGTCTTACCAATATAATAAGATTATTAAACATATATAGTTTAGGTCATTGATTTGCAATGAGCAGTATGCATAACTCTGATACTAGAACTTATGTTTAACAGCAAGGGTTGCGATCTCAACCTGAGACATTTCACTTGGTAAATCACCAGCTGGATGGAATAGTCACCCTATCTTTTCTCATAGTGAATGGGGCCTAGGGTTTTCAGAATGCGTAAATTATGAAGTTTTATTATTGAGTTTTTTAATTGTTGCTAAAACTACGAAGTAGCCAAACGCTCACAGTCTAAATGCCTCGAGTGCTTGCAAACGCTTAACTAAACCAAAGTATCAAAGTACATTAATTACTGCATATACGGCTTAGGCCACAACCGCAAACGCACATGATACGAAATCCATACTTACCTCTAAATGGTCTACTTGGGACAGATTGCTGATAAGGCTCCACTTCAAGAACGTCTTGTAAGAAGGGGTGAAGAAAGTTGCACAGCAGGACTGCGTCAACTTACGTAGTGTGCGCACCGGCGCCTGACCTCTTCTTATATTTGGAGAAAAAACTCGTGACAACGTATTAGAGATACCGTAATCCCATTTCCGTTGATCCTTTCACTGTCTTGTTTGTGATGTTTTATCAGTCACCTGTGATGTTTATTTAACTGATACCGGTTTTCATTTTCGATTTGAACTGTCTTCGGTATATCAGACACAAGACAAAGGCTGCGTTCACATGAAAAATCTTTTTTCTAAAAATCTAAAAATCTATTTGCGGTATCTTGTGATCACGGCCTGTGCCCTGAATACCTCACGGCGTAATTACTGGCAGCTCGAGACAGTTACTTCCAAAGCTGTAATTAATTCTCGGCTGCGCTCGGAGGAGATTCTGACACACTGACGCATGCGTAGAAGTATCTCTAAGCTGTGGAGTTCATCAGTTTAGTTGTGACGACTCAAGCATACAGACGCGTAATATGGCTAGTGGTAGTGCTTGCTGTTGCACAAAATCGACAAACACATTTTTCAAAGCAATTGCGATCGCCATTTACTTTCTAACTTCCTACCGCGCATGCGTTAAGGTATGAGAATCTCCTCCGAGCGCAGCCGAGAATTAATTACAGCTTTGGAAGTAACTCGCTCGCTATGCAAGTTAATTACGCAGCGGGGTATTCAGGGCACAGACCGTGATCACTGGATACCGCCAATAAATTTTTAGATTTTTAGAAAATAAATTTTTCTTGTGAACGGTCCCCTAGCCTCTCTTCTGGTCCTCAAATCAAATTCGGTATTGTATTTGCTATAATATATTCCCACATTTTTTAAAGAACACAAAAGTTTTGCTGCGTGAATACCCTTAGGATGCTTAATACTACTACAATATTTATATGGCGTGCTCTGCATCATGTGTTCAAGACATTACAATTCGTGGGTGATTGTGTGTGTGTGTGTGTGTGTGTGTGTGTGTGTGCGGGAGGGGGGGTTCTCGCTCGCTGTCATGATGGTGCGTCTCAAACCTATTAACTTTATGACCCCTTTAAACACCGCTACAGATGTAGACACTCTACCCAAAAATATTATGTTCAATGTTAAAATACCAGGTGGAAGCTGAGAGCAATGATTATTACGTCAAATTATTACGTCGAATCTCTGATACGTTTCGCTTTACGTCGATTTAGATTCCCAGTCGTGATCGCCTCTGGGAAGTAAGCTCGAATCTTGTCCGTTTCCTTTCATGTGTAATGGTTAGTGCCATAATCAAATTATTTACAAGGTTTCCATGGTCACAAAACTTCAAATTATTACGTCGAATTTCTTACGCATTACGTCTTATGGCACGACAAAGCGAAATTGCGTTGTAAAACGTTATACGACATCATGCTAGTGACGTCATAGAGAGCTTGTAATCAATGACGTCATAATTGTAGTTTAATCGATAGGATTCTGGGAAAAAGATTATTGCAGGTAATACAATAGAATGTAAAAGAATTTGAAGATACTGTAATAATCATGTTAGAGTAACTAAAGATTAAATGCACCATTTATTCGTTAGCCAGGTATACAGTGACTTAAGAAATACATGATAATATTCTGTCATAATCATCCTACATGTGACAATGTTATTGTACTTAGATTTTGTTGGAATCCACTACGTGAGACAAGTCGAGTCGGCCACTCCCTGTGCAATGAACAGCATTCACAACAATTTTGCGACCAGCGCATCGTTGATAGTGAAGCTCATCTTCAAATTTATCCAAACTGTAGCGCTCTTTTTTGGTGACTATAAGAGAAGCAATTGTTTATATTAAATTCAATCCACGATTGTATAAAATTATGCCGAGAAATAAGAAACACAAAAATGTGAAAATAACCATATATAGACTATATATATATCATCGGTTTAATGTTATCGTCGTTACAAAATAAAAAATAACTGTAATATGCAAAAATTGTCTGATCAAATACATATGACTCAAATGTTAACTTATAAAATAAAAAGTTCATCTTACACACATGAATAGTTTTGCATTTGGTATAGTTGCCCACATCCTCCAACATTTAACTCTAGCGGCCTTCTCTCCTTTTACATTACACGCAGCTGTATAAATATTATAGGAGCATGGCAATTAACTCTACAAAGCACTCCAGATTCCTTATTCACTAATAGCTGCCAATTTACATTACATACAGAACAAAAGCTGGAAATCTTGGTGAGAGATCAAACTACAACTTTAGTCATTATTAAGCAAAATATCTTTTTAACGCAAAGAGTTTCGTTTTTTCTAATTGTAATCGTTAATGCAAGTAGGCCTAAGGAATGCAGATATCTAAATAAACATGAAAATACTTTATGCACGATTAAAATTAATAGGGATCAATTTCTACTTGAAAATATTCTGTTTTCATACAAATGAACTGTTTTTGTCCAATTTTCTCGCTTTTAGAAGTATCTGTTGCTGGGATAATGTCAATTATTTTCATTGACTAAAAGGGGAGTTTTCTCTCCTGGCCTCACGGGGTATCTCGCCTCAAGTAAAGCAAGTTTGAGACGCTTCCAAAAGATGGTTCGCTCACGCACGCGCTTTTTTCTGGGCCAATGTAGACAATTACCGTGACGCATCATGGTCTTCAGAGGCTCTTTAAAAGTCGTCTTAGGCACCTCCTCCAAAAAGACAAAAATGATTTTGTCAACAAAGCCGTCAAATAGTTTGACCTGTGCTAGGTTGATCTCCGTTTCGTGTAACTGACTTTCGAAGTACTCCCTCGTAAGCAGAAAGAGGATTCGTCGGCTTTTTTCCATGTTCGTTTCGACATTATCCACCAGGGGATCACCAACGATGTAGTCTCGATCGTTAATGCAAAGTTTAAATCTGATGTCTTCGCCTCTTTCTAAGTTTGGTATAAGGTGTTTCTTTATCCAAGTGACGCTTGTGGGAGAGTACATTGCAATGGCGTCATAAGTCTTATGTGGCTCACGTCTTCCCAATTTGCTTTTCTTACCGCTTGCTCGGTAGATGGCGTAAATGTAGAGGATGTCCCAGCGGAAGCTATAGAGGACAGCAGAGAGAAAAATTACAAAAAACACGCATCCTCCCGATATGGCGGCCAAATACACACTGTGGTCATCGCAAGCGAACCATGAAGGACGAAACTCTTTAATTGGCGTCTTTTGTGCCCATTCGGGTCCAAAGCAAAGTTCCCTGGGACCCTGTACATTGACTGATGTGGTGGCAAGCCAAGACTGAAATGACCTAATGTTACAATCACAAATGATCTTGTTCCTCGCATAATTAAAGTTTTTCAAAGCGGTAAGGTTTGCAAACATGTGCCCACTTAGCGTAAAAATAGAATTGCGATCCAAATGAAGGTCGGTCATTTGCCTTTGGTGACGAAAAATCTCCACGGGAAGCGATCGAAGGCTGTTGAGGTTCAAGTCAAGTGTGGTAAGGTTCGCCAATCCATCAAACATTCCAAGCGGCAATTCTGTCAGTTTGTTTGCAGTCAGTGATAAGCAACGTAAGTGTCGTAAGGGTCTGAGGAGATCTCTTAAAATATCAAGATCTATGGATAATATTCTGTAAAACTGGTTGTTGTCGAGGCATAACTCGGTAAGCGTCGGGACATTATTAAAGATGTCAGCTTTTTTTGAGAGATAAGCTCTGTTATTCTGAAATTCAAATGTTGTCAAACTTGGCAACATACTCATATGTAGCTGTTTAGCCATGTTGAAGCTCTTCTTTGCGGTAACATTTGCCATTTTCACAGTCTGAAGGGATGTCATGTTCCTCAGGACGATACTTTTACACAGGTTGTTTCTAGACAAAGTCAACGACCGTAGGGAACCATGGTTCTTGATAACACAGTCCTCGTCGCCTGTTTCTTTAAATGTAGACGACAAATCCAGCTCACTCAGTTTTAGGCATTTTTCTAGAATTTCTGACAATATTTCAAAACTTTGCAGTTTGTTACTGGGAAGTTTTAATGTCTGAAGTTGGCCAAGATTTACCAGTTGAAATGTCTCTATGTCACAATTGCCGAGATTTAATGTCCTGAGATGTTTAAGTGGCAGAAAGGCTGTGTGGTGAACTACGGTCATTGTGTTCCCGTTTAGACTAAGCTCTGTGACGTTAGAATTACTCAGATGGACAAAATAGTCACCGGTTAAATTGTAGACATTCAATCCGATTTTATCGAGATTTAAAGAATTGACTGACATGGAATGCAAGCTTTTGGTGAGGTTTTGAAGCCCTATACAATTTGAACCATGGCGGCCAGACTTGCAAATTGGGTTACCAGATAAGACTAAGCCAGAGATATATTTGAAGTCAGCAAAAGTGTCAGTTGCCACGTGAGTCAGGTGATTCCTTTGAATGTCCAGTGTTAGCCCATGTATGCGACTGTATGCTTTCATGTCTTCTCGTGTGATTTTGCTAATTGCGTTGCTCTTTAGCCACACGTGTAATTCACTCGCAGAGTTAATTGGATTTCCAAGTCTCAAAGATGATATTTGATTGCCCGATAGTTCTATTCCCTTTAAATACGGCAGGGCTGTTATGTCTTCGGGGATCCTCTTAAGCTTATTGTTTGACAGATTTATTAGTGACAAATTTTGATTTTTCGAAAACATTCCACTCGGTACAGCGGTCAGTGCTGTGCTAGCCAAGTGCAAATTCTCGAGACTTTCAAGCCCCTGAAACATCTTTCTCCGCGCATCTTCAAATACATTACCAAGAATGTCCCTGTTGCCAGATAAACATAATGTCTTGAGACGTTTTAAAGGCCGTAAAAGTCCCGATGACATGTTCCTAAGTCCATTGCTTTCCAAATTGAGTTCATTTAACTGGCCAAGTGATTGAAAAGCATCATGATCAATCTTTTTTATCTGACATTCACGTAGACATAAAACCCGCAGTTCAGTTAAATGAGCCAAAGATTGCCTCTTCAGGTTTTTGAAAATGTTCCCTTTTAAAATTGCAGTTGTTGTGTTCGAAGGAAGTGTTGGAAAGGAAGACAAGTTCCTATGCGTGCAGTCAACTTTGAGGCCATTCCAGGTACTGTCCCGCGTCACCTTGCACGTGCGGTAAATATCGACGGGCTGGTAGGGCTTTCCTAGAGCAATGGCAGGGGCAAGAAGAGCCAAAGTGGACACCCAGAGATGGATCCGTAGTTTAGATAAAGTGGTCGCTGAAGAGCTTTTGAGGCCCATCTGAAAACGAAATCAAAAGATCGATATATTTCATATATCACATATCACATATATTTCAATAGTTTCTTAATGGAGCAGGCGGTTTGGAGGTTTGAAAAATCATTGATAAAAAACAAACCTTGTTTTGATCTTTGATGCACCTTCCGTCTTAGCAAAGAAATCACGCGTGAACACTGTTATCTAAGTTTTTTCACGTACTGTGTGTACCAAAGCATTCAAGATACCGGTATTAATACAGGAAACCCTAAAACGGCTCCCAGATTGCGAATACGCTCCGTAGTGGGGATGCAAACTGTTTGTTTACTTTTCAAACCCCCCTCACTCTGGACGCAACCGCTAAAAACAGCTAGTTATGTCGTCGGCAGCGCTGTGAACCAGTCCGTCAGACAAGTCTTATCTCCCTGGCTTCCTGTTGTGCCGCCGTGAAATCATTCGACATGTACGATTCTGTGCAGTGGTACAAACACATCACTTATCAAAAACGGAAATAGACTATCACCTGACTTTTTGTTCAATTATTAGGCATGGCATACCAGAAACGCTGAATGTGAGGTAACTCTTACACAAACTAACTATAAAGATAAATTAATTCCCCGCTGCTTAAGATACCACTGCTCCGGTGCTCCCCAGCAACTTCCTCCATAGACCCCATAATCTTACCTCTCAACTCAAAGTTTTCTTTTGATAAACACGTGCTGGTGGTGGTTGTGGTGCATGGGGTTACTGTGGCCGCAGCCAACTTAGTACAAAAATGGCGGCTTCGAAAAAAAAAATGGGTAGGTATTTTTAGAGAGTGTACACCTTCAAACCTTCAAATATATGTTTATTGCAAAAAATGCATTATCATTTTATTTTCATTATTATGCTTCAAACAAAGAATGAAGGTTCCTTCAAAGTGCATTGTAGATCAGCGTTCCAGTGTACGCGCGCAGACAAGTTTGCCCACTGATGGCCCGGGGCATGACGGTACAATGTAAACTTAATGGCAACAAGATCCAAGGACACTGTCAATAATAATTGGGGGTATGAATAGGTTGCCTTCAAAATTTCATTCATTTTTTCTCTTCAAAGTAAATGTATATTTTTCATTTGTCTACCTAAATACATAAGGTTAGCTGTATAAGAAAGAACTTCTTTCAACGCTAGTGTACACAAAACACAATAATGAAATTTGGGTCTCACTCTTGTGCTCCACGCCCTAGTTAAAATTGACAACATGTTGACGACAACAACGCCCCCAAGTGTCAATTAACGATTGGAAAAATAAGAGCGGGCAATTGTGAACGTGTTATCACTCAACAGCGGGCAGAGCAGAGACGAGGAAGTATTACATCCCTCTAAAGATGAACTAAAAAGCCGCGAGAGTCAGCGCGCACTTCTCCGAAGAGCCGTTGATCCTACTGTGCGCTAATGTATTGCACTTGAGGATATTTTCTTTTCTCACGCAAAACACGGAATGCTACGTTTTTCTCCTGTGCTAATGGTTCTGTGAATTCGACTCTTCAATCAACTTGGACCCGTCGATATGGAAGTTACATACGTACAAATAGCATAACGCTTTTCGCCCAGACGTCCACTAACCGCCTCAGGAGACGGAATGGAGCAAAATCGAGCTGATGGAGATAAGGCCGTTTTGTCATACTAACTTATCTTTTCAATTCTGGTCCATTCTTTTGGACTTCTTTGTTGGCCTTTACGACTAGAAACTAAAGGTTCACGCGCCCATTTACGACATGGTCTTCGTGTTTTGTTGGACTTTGACTACACTCCTGGGATGAACAATCTAGGTGGGTGGTAAATAAAACACTAATTTCGTTTTATTTCTTTTAAGATAATAAAGAAGTTGATGACAAAAACCAGCCATTAGCCACATTCATAAGACAGCCCACTTTCACAACATAGCGCCTCCCCGTGGACCTTGACTTCACACCTTAGTGAATTGGGGGGGGGGGGGGGGGGGAGAGTAATGAAAGAAACTTTTAGCCCTTAGCCACATTTATCAGACAGCCTACTTTCACGAGATAAGCCTCTCCTGGGACCTTGACGTCCCTCCTTCAATTAACCACTTAAAGTGGAGAGGGGAGAAAAAGTGAAGTGAGAAAACTAAGTTCGTTTTTTTTAATTTTTTAATAATATAGAAGTAGATGACAAAAGCAAGCCCTTAGCCACATACATGAGACAGCCCATAAGGCCTCCACTCATACCTAGTTACCTTGACTGCACTCCTGGGAGGAAACAATACGTGGTGCCTCGATATGAAACTAGAAAACTTTTGTGTTTTGAATCTCCAAATACTAAAAAAAAATCAATGAAGCTAATAAATAGGCCATGAGCAAGAATTTATTATATCGTATATTTTATATTAATTATTATTATATATCATAATAATAAAGTGGCATTTTGATGTACTCCATGCTATGATCTTTATTTTAAAAAAATTTACGAGATTACAAATTGTATCGTATTGTTTGGTTCCATTGCCTTGTTTTCCAAATTTGCAACAGGCGCTCCAAAACCGGTTGACGAAGTTTAAAAAATTATATTGGCCGAGTTCGCCCTCGCACAAGAATGTCCTCGCAGCATTATCTGCAATTAACCTTCATACGATTTTGAATGCATTTTGCAATGCCATTTTCAATCTGCCCCGTGGAACATTTTATTTATCAAGAGTGGGGGAGGGGTGAAAATTCCCCATTGAAGGGACATATAGGCCTAACACTATAAATACAATGGGAATCCCCTTGTTATGAAGGTAAAATAAATGTTATTCTAAGGAATTCCGATGGGTTTACGTTTAAAAACATGAAATCAATAGTGCATTTCTAATAATAATAATAATAATGATAATAATAATAATATTTATTTATAGTCTAAAATCCAACATATGTTCACTGTTCAGTAGACTTTACAAAAATTATAAAATTCAAATTAAAAGAAAAATATTGCTAATGGTTAGAAGATGAAAGGATATATAAAATGGATAAAAAATGGGAAATTTAAAACTATATATATTAAAACTATTAAAAATATAAAAATATGAACAACTTTTCTTAAGAAGTGTTTTTTCAAGAATTTAAAGATAATATTGTTTAAAAAGGTGGGTTTTTAGTTCCTTTTTAAAATGTCCAGGGTCCACAATTTGTCTGATGGGTAAAATATTCCATTCTTTTGGTGCTGCAAATTTAAAAGCTTTATCACCGTATGATACTAATCTTGCCTTATAAGCCTTAAGAAGAAGGTGATCGCCTGATCTGAGATTTCTTGATGGCACGTAGTGTAAAACAAGCTCATTTAAATAAGAAGGTGCAAGTTTATAAAATGCTGCATGTGCAAATGTTAAAAGTTTGAATAAAATGCGTGCTCGGACAGGGAGCCAGTGCAACATCATTAAAACAGGAGTAATGTGGTTGTCTTTTGGGGTGCGGGTCAGTAGGCGAGCAGATATATTCTGTACACGCTGTAATATGAATTTTCAAAAAGACACCAGAGAGCAAGTAAAATAAAAATCAACCAGACCGCAAACACCGGCAGGCTTTGTTAATTTCACCAACTTGTTTATTTCAAACAGCGCATGCACAGTATTTTGAAGCCTGTGCTGCCTTTTGCTATTTTGCTATTGTTACGACGCCTGAATGTGTACAGTTGCGCTTATTTTAGTCCACTTGTTTCAACTCGTTGCATGGGCCGACAGCGCGAAAAAGAAAGTCGAGGAACAAAGTTTCCTGCGCGGTTGCAAATCGTCGTCAGTTGCGATTTTCAATCTAATATGCTAATGATCTTATTATTGCTTTACGTTTATTGGCATTTTTTTACACACCGTGGGAGGGGCACACCCCCTCCCACACCCTCCCCCCTCGGGGGCTTTGCCCCCTCGTGTCCGCTTACTGCCCCCCCCCTGGCATTTTGCTCAGGCTACGGCCCTGAAACGCCTAATCTGTTAATAAGGCCTGATCGACTAAGTAAGTTTCCTCTAGTCACCTCATTTAATTCTATGGACAGAGACCTCCTTTCTGCAATAATAACGACGTTCATGCCTACGTGGTCTTAAAAGGGCGCTGTGAAAACCAGGAAGTAGATCGCGCCAAACAACTCGCAGTGACTCACTATATATCGTCATGCAATGATTTGTTTTTATTTTCATTATTGGGATCAGTTTTGAGATTACTAAAAATCAAGTTGACATGTTCATTCCAAATTACATCAAACCAATAGACCTTCACTGTACTACACCGGGATACGCAAAAATGCCATGATAAAGACGGCATTCTGACGTTAACTGAAATAAAAATCACAGGCACGGGAGACTGGCAATCGATTCATTGTCGTGTCTTACCAATATAATAAGATTATTTCACTTGACAAGACATTTCACTTGGTAAATCACCAGCTGGATGGAATAGTCACCCGATCTTTTCTCATAGTGAATGGGGCTAGGGTTTTCAAAATGCGTAAATTATGAAGTTTTATTATTGAGTTTTTTAAACTACGAAGTAGCTAAACGCTGACAGTCTAAACGCCTCGAGTGCCTGCAAACACTTAACTAAATCAAAGCATCATAGTAGATGAATTACTGCATATACGGCTTAGGCCAAAACCGCAAACGCACTTGATGCGAAATCCATACGTACCTCTAAATTGTCTACTTGGGACAGTTAGCTGATAAGGCTCCTCTTCAAGAACGTCTTGTAAGAAGAGGTGAAGAAAGTTGCACAGCAGGACTGCGTCAACTTACGTAGTGTGCGCACCGGCGCCTGACCTCTTCTTATATTTGGAGAAAAAACTCGTGACAACGTGTTGGAGATACCTTAATCCCATTTCCGTTGCTCCTTTCACTGTCTTGTTCGTGATGTATTATCAGTCACCTGCGGTGTTTATTTAACTGATACCGGTTTTCATTTTCGATATGGTACTTTTTATGAACTGTCTTCGGTATATCAGACACAAGACGTGGAACCGTGCACGTCTGGTATGCTGTAGTGCTCAAAGAAAGCAATGCTTGTTTGTGTTTCTTACGCCGTTAAAGGCTGGCACTGACAGGCAAAAATTATATCCAGGGGTTTGGGGCAAAGTTCTTCAAGGAAGTAGACGTGTCAAGTATTTTTCCTACCCTCTGTATGCGAGTAAAGTAATGTGTGATCGAAAATAAACAGAATAAACTTAAACTGTGTGATCGTATATTCCTTTTCCACGACAGTGAAATTTAGTTTATTTTTCTTTGTGCATAAATAATTGCTACATACGTTTGAAAGATTTGGAACTGCGGAGCGCATATTTTTTTGTTCATGTAAAGGCACGCGAAGGAAAGGAACTATTTTACCCTCTAATAATTGCATTATCCTAAAACAAACAAATGCTGTATGTAAAGATATCTACGGGATGTGACTGCTTGGCAGAATTAAACTTTCTTTATTCGTTTTGTAAATAATACAAATCTCCGTTGCATTTTTTACCCTGGTTAGAATTTCTTCGTTTTTTTTATAAGTTACACACATTCGCCGAGTCCTCAACACGAATGCAATTGCTTTGTTTTCTAAGCAAAATCCCATTCAGTAACCCAGTCCAAAATATTCAGTTTCAGAGCACCGACGGTGAACGTCTTTGCTCTTCACAATTAATGCCCTTTGAGGGAATGTAAAATTAATTATCTGCCACATTTTATAAAGTTTTATTATTACGTTTCTGACTGTGGAACGGCGGAGGTCCCTGTCCATAGAATTAAATGAGGTGACTAGAGGAGACTTACTTAGTCGATCAGGCCTTATAAACAGATTAGGCGTTTACTTACACTCCCCGCAGATCTTTTTTAGCACTAACACCCCTATTAACCACAAACCCACGAATTATAACCACCGTACAAGTATCTAGCACCCACAAAGCGATACCTATGTTGGTTATGTGGTTAATATGGGTGTTTGTGCTAAAAGCACTGCGGGCAGTGTTAGCAAACGCCTAATTCGTTTATAAGGCCTGCTTAGCCCGCTAAGTCAAAGGAAGGCCGTGTAGACGCACAAGGACGCTATGAACTGGGGAAGTTGTCACGAAGGTGACCTTCAAATAAACAACTTGACAGAGGCGCAAATAGATCGCGCAGAAAAAAAATTAAGGAAAATTTTACTATATGTCTAGCTACTTCCGTGGGAATCATAAAAGTTTATGAGTTAGGAAGTATGGTGAAGAGCGCGTGACTGATATATGTATTTAGTCACTGATAAAGAATTTGCAGACATGGTAGTCATTCCACTGGTATAGTAATTCTTGAAGAGTCCATTTTAAAACGATTCTCACCTTGGTTTATTAGCCTTAACTATTTAAAAGTGGCAATTCCCCATTTAAATTAAAAGTTTATGGGCATTCTCATTGGCGTAGAACCGTTTAGATTATTTCCGCCAAGAGAGCAAGCAGCAACACGTTAATCTTTATGGGTCTAAGCACGGAAATACATATACTTCCATGTAAGTTAGAAAAGAAGTTCATTTGGATGTGTTATATATAATGAAGTCTTATGAAATTCATTTTTTCCATTTAGTAGAAAACGAAAAACCATCTCAAAAGAAAGACCACCTAGTGCTCAAAGAATAGCACTGAGGAAGAATGCAGCAAAGAGCAGTTGAACATTTCTGCACATACAGGTATCTTAACATCTTTTACCTCGCTTTCTTTTGGATGGCAAAATATATACTTCCATGGTTTAAGTCAGCCTGAAATATAGAGAACACTAGAAACTTACCTCTACTTTCAGTATACCCGAAAAACGGTACATAGATGCATGTTAATACTCAGTAGTAGAGAAGCAAGTCTCTAAGAACCCCCGAAACTTACGCGTTCATCAAAAACATTCAGTCGCTTATCCTTTTCCGCTGTCAGTTTATTCCACAAACCGCGGTCATTATATATATAATATTGTGAATATGCTAACTTTTTTTATCAATTCATGACTCCCAAGCATTGTGGGCAAGTATGCGCCATTAACTTAACTTAAATTACCGGGCCCCTTATCTCGAAAGCATCGCGTATTGCGAATCGCTATATCAAACAGAGGCTACAATGTATTATATGGGATGAGTATGGGCGAGTTATGGAATCGAGACGCTTGCGCACGGTCGCAATGCGCGATACTTTCGAGATACGGGGTACCGGTACACCTTTTCATAGGCCCCTGCCTTTTTCTTAAATTATACAGTTTACCCATAAAAAAGTAAATAAATAAATAAAAGAGGCATGGTGCAGACGGCATTGTCAGTACCGATCACTTAGTTTAGCGACGTGGAAATTAAATTAAGAACGACACTATAAGAATGTGATCCACGTGCAACTGATCTCTTTGTAGACCTTTATGAAACCTTTTCTTTTATGGCGGTGAGATACGCTCGAGAGTCTACTGTTGAAAGTTAAAAAGATACTGTTGACGGAAGTGAAGCTGTCAAATGTACAAACCAATTTTGGTCACAAGATGTTTTTATATCAGGAAGTAACAGGGGAAATATTGATAATGCAAAAAAAAAAAAAAAAAAAAAAAAACTCTGCAATGCAGAAGAGAGGGTTGCAGCTAAAATTTTAACACAACAGAAGCAATGGACAGCTTATCTCTTGAACTTGCAAGCCTGACTTAGAAGTGAAAGTATTATAATATTAATCTTTACTGACTTATTGCAACCACGAGGGTTGAAGTTATACGTATATTTATTTTATTCACTTATTCAAAGGAGGCCTGCTTATTTACCCGTGTGCCCTCTACTTTAAGAGTAAAAAGCTTTGTGGTTCTCAAAATATTTATTTCATTTTTGGGGATTATAAGTCAGGAAACGGCGCACTTGCAAAGGCTTACTTAAGTCTGATGAGAATCTCGTGAAAATAACGCACTAAAGTGATATGTTTCAATTATAAGAAAACAGCAAACTGGGTACAAGACGAAAATGTGATTATTTGCAATCTTAGGACCAATTCACCCCACCATTCCCGATCCCCAAAAATGAAATGAATCTTTTGAGAACCATCACAAAGTTTTATTTATTCTTAAGCAAAGTAGAGGGGCACACAGGTCCACCTGTATCAAAGAAGGAAGTGAAGCTGTCAAATGTACAAACCAATTTTGTAACAAGATCCACTTTTGTATCAGGAAGTAACAGGTGAAATATTGATAACCCCCCCAAAAAAAAAAAAAAAAAAAAATTTGGAAAAACCAATCTAAAAAATTTGACTTCCCTGCTTACATTTAAGGGTGTAATTGGCTAAGAATTAATAAATGCTCAATAAAAGCTTGATAAAAGTAATGGCATGAGCGAACAAAGGGAAACTGAGTATGTTGTATGCAATTTTATTGAATACAGGACAAAAGCCCATATGTTCATATGTTGTATACAAAATGTTGCCCTGTAGTAATACCATACTACATCATTGTTTTGTCTATCTATAAACATGGCATATTGGATATACCTCATTAATGGTGCATTTAATGATAATTATCTCAGTGACATTGTTAATGACGATGATTGGTTGATGAAAATATGCTCATTATCCTACAATTGTTTTGTGGTACATAATTTTTAGACTTGCACAAAATTATCAGGTTAATCAACCATTATGACAAATGAACTGATATACTAAAATATTTCTATTTCTTACTTATATTTTACCATTTTACATGTCACAAAGCAGACATTTCCATTAACTTCTAGACATACAGTAAACACTGTGTAATATGGCATATTTTGGGTTTAATCAATAACAAGTAATCACTCATGATTTCAAACTTTTGGATCTTCCCCTCTGTAAAGACAACAGCTGAAGTATTCTGTGGGGAAGGAAGTCAAAATTCTTCAATACATGAAATATTTAATATTTCACCAAATCAGTTATAAATTAAAAAAAAATACATGTATTCAAATGTTTTCTTTTACTTCAACTGAATAAATTATAATGTATAGATCATTTGCCCAAATATGTAAATACTGTATATGTATATGCAGCACGAGCAGGGTGGAAGCTGGGAGCAATGATTTCTTACAAATCAAATGAAATACAAGAAAGCAGTTAAGTATCTCTTCATTGTATAAAACCATGCATATATTTCTGCATTTTTTTTTTGGTTGTTTGTTTGTTTGTTTGTTTGGAAGCCCATTCTTTTAACCACTTACAGTCCTTATGAAAAGTACCGTAACTTTTTCAAACCTTTTTTTTTTCTTCTCATATCCAACCTCACACACCACAACAATTTCATTAAGTAACCTGATCTCAATTTTTGTAATATCAGTTCCTAATTTCTTTATCTTGGCATTACAAATTCGATCATCTTCTTAAGTAAGAAAATATAATTAATCTTCAACACACACATTTACACCCTTAAGAAGGGGAACAGTCACTCTCTGAAATCTCCAGGTGAGTTTCAATCCACATGTAGTGTATACAGTGTACTGATAATTCAATACAATACAGCACTTTATTTTATAAACTTTTCTTTCACTTTCAGTTTAAACAGGGAATTTCTTCCATATGTTGCTTTTCTCTGATAAGCTTGATAAACCCTTTATTAAACCATAAAAAAAATAAAGGATTACTTACTTAAACAAAAAATAACTGACATCATTCAACTTAATTTTTAAAAATCATTTTCCTTTCAGTTTTGCAATCAGAGTACTATTTTCTTTCTTCATCTCGTTGAAGTCAGACTGGATCTTTTCTAAGTTGGCCGTTGTTTTCTTGTGACTCTCATTTTCCAACTGAAACATCAATTTAATTATAACAACATCCAGTGCTATAAATGTTTTATTTTTTCAAGTTAAAATATGACTCTCAGTTTTTCATCTTAAAAATTCAGTTCTTATTCCTGATTGAGAATGGCAAAGTACCAGTCTTAACCTTACATTAACATCCAATTGAAAATAACTCTTTTAACAGATTTATTAAATTGCATTTGAATTACCACTCTTTTGTACATGGTTGTTTAAGCTTACAATGAAAAAATGTACGCTATTGATGAAATAAATAATAAAATTGAGATTAATTCATAACTATGAATGAGTTATGATGTTAAGGCATTAAATACCTGGTCTTCAAGGTCTCTTATTTCACGGAGTATTCCACCTGTTTCTTCCACAGTTTTTATAAGAAGGTTGCAGTTCTAAAACACACAATAATCATATTATAACAAGGCAGCAAAGCTGTCAAATGTACAGACAAAAAAAAAAATAAAGATGCAAAAAATAGGTCATTTTGTCAATTTTGATGCAATAATAAATAATGCTGTCAATCAACACTGAATTTTAATCATGAATAACAGATAACATGGTCAATAACAGGAGCGAACAGGAGAGACAGTATTCCAAATTATCTTTGTTGATCCATCCTCCACTTTTGATGGTCTTCCAACAGAAAAAAATAGATACCCGTCAATGTAAACATTAAAATCTGACCATCTTCCAGAAGGCCCAGAAGACGGTCTCAATCCGCAATCCTCAAATTCACATAATGAAAATCACAATATTTGAAAAATGATGACAGTGCATAAAATAATATTACATAATGTTTAAAGACATAAATACCAATACAACTGCTTATGTGGAAATACAGAAAATGTGCAGAGGTTCAAATGGATGGGAGTTAAAAGTCACATCTTGAAAATGCCAGTGTTTGAAAAAAAAATTTAAAAAAACAACAAAAATATTCCAATAAAGCTGCTATTCAAACTTTCAATCTTGCTGTATTAACATGATATGAATAACCCCATTGAGTTTGAGGATAGATAAGGCACTGTTATTCATCTATAGCATTAATGTTGGCATTACACAAAATAATTTTTTTTGAAAATTTATTTGCAATATTAAACAATATTTACCTGCAATATTATCAATGCTTTCTTATTATGGACACTTATCTGGCAGAGAACTTNCAGACGTGGAACCGTGCACGTCTGTTATGCTGTAGTGCTCAAAGAAAGCTATGCTTGTTTGTGTTTCTTACGCCGTTGAAGGCTGGCACTGGCAGGCGAAAATTATATCCAGGGGTTTGGGGCAAAGTTCTTAAAGGAAGTAGACGTGTAAAGTATTTTTCCTACTCCTGTATGCGAGTAAAGTAATGTGTGAAAATAAACAGAATAAACTTAAACTGTGTGATCGTATATTCCTTTTTCCACGACAGTGAAATTTATTTTTCTTTGTGCATAAATAATTGCTACATACGGAGCGCATATTTTTTTGTTCATGTAAAGGCACGCAAAGGAAAGGAACTATTTTATCCTCTAATGATTGCATTATCCTAAAACAAACAATGCTGTATATAAAAATATCTAGGGGATATGACTGCTTGGCAGAATTATACTTTCTTTATTCGTTTTGTAAATAATACAAATGGCCGTTGCATTTTTTGTCCTGGTTGGAATTTCTTCGCTTTTTTATAAGTTACACACATTCGCCGAGTCCTCAACACGAATGCAGAGAACGGATATCACTGCAATTGCTTTGTTTTCTAAGCAAAATCCCATTCAGTAACCCAGTCCAAAATATTCAGTTTCAGAGCACCGACGGTGAACGTCTTTGCTCTTCACAAATAATGCCCTTTGAGGGAATGTAAAATTAATTATCTGACACATTTTATTAAGTTTTTATTATTACGTTTCTGACTGTGAAACGGTGGAGGTCTCTGTCCATAGAATTAAATGAGGTGACTAGAGGAAACTTACTTAGTCGATCAGGCCTTATTAACAGATTAGGCGTTTCAGGGCCGTAGCCTGAGCAAAATGCCAGGGGGGGGGGGCAGTAAGCGGACACGAGGGGGCAAAGCCCCCGAGGGGGGAGGGTGTGGGAGGGGGTGTGCCCCTCCCACGGTGTGTAAAAAAATTTTTTAGAGACTGTATGTATAATACTGCATTCTGGTGCATTTTAACTGTTATTTATTGTTCAATCAGAAGTCAGAAATTGTGGGTTCATTTTGCCATAAGTACACTCATTTTTTCAACACAACACGCCAATTGGACTTCATTTCGTAGATTGTCTCAGGATCAGGAATAACGTTTCTTCCTCTGTGGACAAGCAAGAGAGCCAATCCGCTAAGGCGTTCCTCTGCCATGCTTGTGCGTGTCCACAGTTTCAGACGACCTTTGCGATTATTTTTTTTGCACCTCAAATCCCAGGGGGGGGGGAAGCTGCCCCCCCTGCCCCCCCGGAGGCTACGGCCCTGCGTTTACTTACACTACCCGCAGATCTTTTAGCACTAACACCCCTATTAACCACAAACCCATGAATTATAACCACCGTGCAAGTATCTAACACCAACAAAGCGATACCTAGCATTAGCATTCATCCACTCTGATTGTACGGGTTAATATGTGGGTTATGTGGTTAATATGGATGTTGGTGCTAAAAGCACTGCGGGCAGTGTTAGCAAACGCCTAATTCGTTTATAAGGCCTGCTTAGCCTGCTAAATAAGTCAAAGGAAGGTCGTGTAATCACACAAGGACGATATGAACTGGGGAAGTTGTCACGAAGGTGACCTTCAAATAAACAACTTGACTAGGGGTGCAAATAGATCTTGCAGAAAAAAAAATTAAGGAAATTTTTGCTATATGTCTAGCTACTTCCGTGGGGATCATAAAAGTTTATGAGTTAGGAAGTATGGTGAAGAGCGCGTGACTGATATATGTATTAAGTCACTGATAAAGAATTTGCAGTAGTCATTCGCCTGGTAATTCTTGAAGAGTCCTTTTTAAAACGATTCTCACCTTGGTTTATGAGCCTTAACTATTTAAAAGTGTCAATTCCCCATTTAAATTAAAGGTTTATGGGCATTCTCATTGGCGTAGAACCGTTTAGGTTATTTCCGCCAAGAGAGCAAGCAGCAACACGTTAATCTTTATGGGTTTAAGCACGGAAATACATATACTTCCATGTAAGTTAGAAAATAAGTTCATTTGGATGTGCTATATATAATTTAGTCTTATGAGATTCATTTTTCCATCCAAAAGAAAACGAAAAACCACCTATAAAGAAAGACCACCAAGTGGCAAAACAATAGCACTGAGGAAGACTGCAGCAAAGAACAGTTGAAAATGTCTGCACATACAAGTATCTTAACATCTTTTTACCTCGCTTTCTTTTGATTGGAAAAAAATTAATCTCATAAGACTACATTATATACTTCCATGGTTTTAGTCAACCTGAAATACAGAGAACACTAGAAACTTACTTCTACTTTCAGTATACCCGAAAAACGGTTCATAGATGCATGTTAATGGTAGAGAAGCAAGTTTCTAAGGAAACCCGAAACTTACGCGGTCATCAAAAATATTCGGCCTTTAATTTTTTTTCGCAATCAGTTTACCCACAAAACCGCGGTAAATATTGTAAAAATGCTAAACTTATTTATCATGATTCCCAAGTATTGTAGGCGAGTATGCACGATTAACTTAAATTACTAGTTCACCTTATCATAGGCCCCTGCTTTTTTTCTTAAATTCTATAGTTTTCGGATAGATTGATAAAGGAACAACGCCACCAATAATAAAAAATAAAAAAATAAATAAAAGAGGCATGCTGCAGACGAACACTTAGTGACGGAGACTTGGTTCAGCTACGTGGAAATCAAATTCAGAACGACACTAAGAACGTGATCCACGTGAAACTGATCTCCTTGTATACCTTTTTCTTTTATGGCTGTGAGATACGCTCTAGAGTCTACTGTTGCAAGTTCAAAAGATACTGTTGAAGGAAGTGTAGCTGTTAAATGTACAAACCAATTTTGGTCACAAGATCTGTTTTTGTATCAGGAAGTAACAGGTGAAATATTGAAAATGCAAAAAAAAAAAAAAAAAAAAAAACAAAACAAAAAAACTCTGCACTGCAGAAGACAGGGTTGTAGCTAAATTTTTAACACAATAAAAACGATGGACAGCTTATCTTTTGAACTTTCAGGTCTGACTAAGGAGTGAAACACAAAAGTAGCAACTTAGCAAAAAAAAATATATATATATATAAAATAAATAAATAAATAAATAAATAAATAAATAAATAAGGGAGGTGCATGTTAATACAAAGTATTAGCAGCCAGGAAACAGCGTACTTGCAAAGGCTTACTAAAGTCCAAGATGCGCTTCTCGTGAAAATAACATAACAATTTAAAGAGAACAGCAAAGTGGGTACAAAACAACAATGTGACTATTTGCCATCTTAGGACCAAGTCACCCCACAATTTGCAATCCCCAAAAAATTGAAATGAATCTTTTGAGAACCACCACAAAGCTTTACTTTTTCATAAAGAAAGTAAAGGGGTATACAGGTACACTTATATCAAAGGAGGAAGTGAAGCTGTCAAATGTACAACCCAATTTTTGTAACAAGATCCGCCTTTGTACCAGGAAGTAACAGGTGAAATATTGATAATGCAAAAAAAAAAAAAAAAAAAAAAAAAAAATATATATATATATATATATATATATATATATATATATATATATGTGTGTGTGTGTGTGTGTGTGTGTGTGTGTGTGTGTGTGTGTGCAATGGAATTTAATTAGTTTGAAAAATAACTTAATGACTTTTTTTGACACTTAAAAAGAAACTCTAAACCGATTTTAAATATTCAAATATATTGAGAGCAGAGGTCATTTCAGAGGTGAATAATGAAAACACTGCAATTGCAAAACTTATATTAGTAGCAGAGACACTGATCAGAACCACTGTGTCCCTGAAATTGGAAAATTGAATCTAAAAAATTAAGACTTCCCTGCATATGTTTGAGGGGCATGCTGCTTTATAATATCCAAAACTTGACGGCACTTTGATAAAAATAACAACATGAGTGAAGAAAGGGACACTGGGTGTGTTGTATGCAATTTTATTGAATACAGGACAAAAGCCCATAAGTTCATATGTTGTATACAAAATGTTGCCCTGTAGTAATACCATACTACATCATTGTGTTGTCTATCTATAAACATGGCATATTGGATATACCTCATTAATGGTGCATTTAATAATTATCTCAGTGACATTGTTAATGACTATGATTGGTTGATGAAAATATGCTCATTATCTTACAATTGTCTTGTGGTACATAATTTTGAGACATTATTATCAGGGTAATTAACCATTATGGCAAATGAGCTGTTATACTAAAATATTTCTATTTCTTACTTATATTTTACCACTTTACATGTCACATAGCAGACATTTCCATTTACTTCTTAACATACAGTAAACACTGTGTAATATGGCATATTTTGGGTTTAATCAAATAACAAGTATTCACTCATAATTTCAAACTTTTGGATCTTCCCCTCTGTAAAGACAACAGCTGAAGTATTCTGTGGGGAAGGAAGTCAAAATTCTTCAATACATGAAATATTTCACCAAATCAGTTATAAATTAAAAAAAAATACATGTATTCAAATGTTTTCTTTTACTTCAACTGAATAAATTATAATGTATAGATCATTTGCCCAAATATGTAAATACTGTATATGTATATGCAGCACGAGCAGGGTGGAAGCTGGGAGCAATGATTTCTTACAAATCCCATGAAATACAAGAAAGCAGTTAAGTATCTCTTCATTGTATAAAACCATGCATATATTTCTGCATTTTTTTTTTTGGTTGTTTGTTTGTTTGTTTGTTTGGAAGCCCATTCTTTTAACCACTTACAGTCCTTATGAAAAGTACCTTAACTTTTTCAAACCTTTTTTTTCTCATATCCAACCTCACACACCACAACAATTTCATTAAGTAATCTCAGTTCCTAATTTCTTTATCTTGGCATTACAAATTCAATCATCTTCTTAAGTAAGAAAATATAATTAATCTTCAACACACACATTTACACCCTTAAGAAGGGGAACAGTCACTCTCTGAAATCTCCAGGTGAGTTTCAATTCACATGTAGTGTATACAGTGTACTGATAATTCACTACAATACGACACTTTATTTTATAAACTTTTCTTTCACTTTCAGTTTAAACAGGTAATGTCTTCCATACCTTACTTTTCTCTGATAAGCTTGATGACCCATTTTTTGAACCAGAAGGAAAATTAAGGATTACTTAAACAAAAAATAACTGACATCATTCAACTTAATTTTTTAAAATCATTTTCCTTTCAGTTTTGCAATCAGAGTACTATTTTCTTTCTTCATCTCGTTGAAGTCAGACTGGATCTTTTCTAAGTTGGCAGTTGTTTTCTTGTGACTCTCATTTTCCAACTGAAACATCAATTTAATTATAACAGCATCCAGCGCTATAAATGTTTTATTATTTTTTTTCAAGTTAAAATATGACTCTCAGTTTTTCATCTTAAAAATTCAGTCCTTATTCCTGATTGAGAATGGCAAAGCACCGGTCTTAACCTTACATTAACATCCAGTTGAAAATAACTCTTTTAACAGATTTATTAAATTGCATTTGATTTACCACTCTTTTTTACATGGTTGTTTAAATAAATAAAATCAAGATTAATTCATAACTATGAATGAGTTATGATGTTAAGGCATTAAATACCTGGTCTTCAAGGTCTCTTATTTCACGGAGTATTCCACCTGTTTCTTCCACAGTTTTTATAAGGAGGTTGCAGTTCTAAAACACACAATAATCATATCATAACAAGGCAGCATAGCTGTAAAATGTACAGACAACAAACAGAAAATAAAGATGCAAAAAATAGGTCATTTTGTCAATTTTGATGCAATAAAAAATAATGCTGTCAGTCAACACTGAATTTTAATCATGAACATCAGATAACATGGTCAATATCAGGAGCGAACAGGAGAGATATTTTCTGACAGTATGCCAAATTATCTTTGTTGATCCATCCTCCACTTTTGATGGTTTTCCAACAGAAAAAAATTTATACCCGTCAATGTAAACATTAAAATCTGACCAGAAGGCCCAGAAGACGGTCTCAATCCGCAATCCTCAAATTCACATAATGAAAATCACAATATTTGAAAAATGATGACAGTGCATAAAATAATATTACATAATGTTTAAAGACATAAATACCAATACAACTGCTTATGTGGAAATACAGAAAATGTGCAGAGGTTCAAATGGATGGGAGTTAAAAGTCACATCTTGAAAATGCCAGTGTTTGAAAAAAAAAATAAAAAAAAACAACAAAAATATTCCAATAAAGCTGCTATTCAAACTTTCAATCTTGCTGTATTTTTTTTTTTTTAACAGATTTATTTCTACAATCAAGATATACANTTGCTGTATTAACATGATATGAATAACCCCATTGAGTTTGAGGATAGATAAGGCACTGTTATTCATCTATAGCATTAATGTTGGCATTACACAAAATAATTTTCTTTGAAAATTTATTTGCAATATTAAACAATATTTACCTGCAATATTATCACTGCTTTCTTATTATGGACACTTATCTGGCAGAGAACTTAACCTATGGGAGTTTACAGTATCAACAAGTGTGTTTTAGTAATCTCATTTAATGGCCACTTGAATCTTAATTGACTTTGCAGACTTTCAAAAGGCCAAAAAAATATGTCAGACATTCAGTCTGACAGGCTTGAAAATTCTGTCAGACCGAAACAAAATCTGTCAGACCAAAGTAAAATAACAGAAATACGACAAATTATTTATGTTTTCAGGTGAATTTTTTAACATTTTTAATCACCAACATTAAATCTAATATTAAATGTTATATATATATATATATATATTGTGAAAAAAATGAGATAAAAAAGAAAAAGAAAAAATTACACAAAACATTATTTGCATAACAAGTTGTTTTTTGTCTAATTAAAAAGGCATTGTAGAATGACACAAGGACTAAAAATAATACAAGTATGAAGAATGTGTAGCTAGTAATATCAAACATATGTCCATAAAAACGTCTGTTAATCAGATAACCATTTCACCCGTTGTTTTTGGCAGTAACATGCACTGTGAAACAACAAAGTAAGGCAGTCTCTTTCATCCAATTGAAGCTTTGGTAGGGACTGTTCAACTGTTCAGGGACTATCTCCTTATTTTTTCACATAATTAAGCATCATTTTAATTAAAGACATTACCTCGTTAAGGGCTGCTAAGTACTTATAGGCTTTTCTCACACCCTCATCTTTCTTGGCATCCTACAGTAAAATGATAATAATAATATTAAGACCAGGAATTACATAGAAACAATCCTTACTGTAGAGCATTTGATCCAAGATGTTTTTTATAACAAAGCAACATAACATAACGTAAGGTAAGTGTTAGAACAAAGATGTACATCACAAATATAAGTACTGTACAAAAACACAGTCTAAGAGAAAAAGTATAACAACTTTAAGAGAGAGATAATTGATGTATAATACATATAGATTGTGAACTATAACAAACACAAAAGCATAACACTAGTATTGGTAGAAGTATACTATTAACATAAAGAGAATTCTAACAGTCCTCACCCTGAAGATGACTTCATCTGTTACTGTGAATGTCCTGTCCAGTTTACCAGTGAGTTGGTTAATCTCCTTCTGGATTGACCGTGTGTCTATTAAAACCTGCAAACAACAATGTTTTCCCAATTTAAATGATAGACCACATAAGTCTGGCTCTAGAAAAATCTGAACATGTCTCTTATGGCCAAACACTTAATCAGCAGGAAATCCTGCAGTTGCTGTAGGCAACATCAAAACTGAATTAAAAATCTCAGAAATCCATAATTCAGCAGAAAAAAGCCGTGCAGTACTTTCAGCAAACTTATAATAGTTATAACTACCAATGAATACCAACCTTCTCAATGTCCTCTTTCTGTCTCTTTATATTGCCAACTATTTCCATAATTCTCTTTGTGTAAGCTGACCGATTTACATCCTTGGTCATTCTTTCATACTCCGACATCTAATTAAGGCAAAGTAAGAAAATAAACATGCAACATTTGTATGTAAAGCTACTTTAAATTCATTCACTGTGAAATATTTTGCTCATTTTTTTACATGACAGGCTGTCGAAGATAAATTCTACTTTCATAGCCATCATTGTTATAAACTGTGCAGTGTTTATTTAAGTTTCCTTTTAATCTACTACGTAACAAATTTTGTTATGAGAATCATTACTGTTTACCTTAGTTTTTCAGAAAAGTGACATCTACACCTTAACAAATAAAATAAGTCCTACCAATTGTTTACAAAGGTCATCCTTGGCTCTGGTTTCGTCTGCAACTTCTTTCATCTTTTCTCTAAGAACTCTAATCTCCTCTAACTTCTTTTGAGCTTCAGACTGGAATCACAGTGGTATATTTCAAATTTTATTGCACAATGGGTTATGTGAGCTTTTCTTATAACAGTTCTTATAACTAACTAGAGATAAGCACTGACTGCTGACTGTGTCACTAAATGATAAAAGTTATGTAATAAATAACCTGCAACTAAAACCCTGCAAAATTTTGAAATATTACAAATATGGAGTAAAATTACAATAGCAACCGACTTTTTTACCCTTTCTGTTAATTAATACAGTCAAAGCTGTATTTGATCATTTATGCTTTCCAGTTAATTCATGGTCCCAACATGAAGCAACCACCACAATCACTTTAGTTTCTTGGATTCTCTTTTTAAAATATCTCAGTTGATATCACAGTGATCAGAAACATCCTGATCATTACAATTATCAAGCATGGCAGACAGGAAACAGACAATGCTTAGCAGTCGGATTTATAAACCCATTTCCATATTTACTATAGCAGTCGGATTAATAAACCCATTTGCATATTTACTATAGCAGTCAGATTAATACATCCATTTCCATATTTACTAACTGCTAACAAACATGAATTGCAATTAAATTTTAAATGTCAAACCTCATCAATGATTTAGTTTCTCTTTCACTCACCACTCTGTTCTCGTTGAGTTCTTTCACCTCCCTGTATTGCTGTATCAGTGGAGCACGATGCTTCTCCCATTGGCTGGCTAAGTTGACCAATCGCTGGGCACTACTGTCCACCACGCTCTGAAATACCCAGCAGAGCATGAACTTTATATCAGACATGAGTCTAGGTTTAAAAAAAATTAAAATTAAAATTAAAATTAAAAAAAAAAAAATTTGAACATTTATTGAATATCAGACAAGATGAATCTCAGGAACCATCAGAATAGCATTAAATAACGCAGAATTCAGCATTTCCGCGGAAAAAGCTCATGTCTGTTATATTGACAAATGTTAATCTGTTAATTACACATGTACGTGTGTCAACTTGTCACTGTCATATTTGTGACATTTGTTACACTTTTGTTATCATTATCTTTGAAAAAACAGGCACAATTTCAGATCACTGTTGCCAGGCAAAGTTCACATTCAAGTTAGCTACTGTGCTGTGACAATAGATGCTAATTTCAGATCTTATGTTTGACAAATTCACTGCTCAGTGCATTGAAAAAAACTTAACTGATTATTTTTTTTATTCCATGAAGAGTTAATACATGGTATCGGCACACTTATGGTTTCCAATATTTCCAATGACAGTCTGTTAAATGTCCACCTACCTGAAGCTTGACAATGTTGTTCTCGGCATCTGGCAGTAAATCTAGGGTCCTTTTTTTCACTTTATACGCCTCCTCTTTCTCCTTATTCTTTCTCTTCTCCAGGCCTATCTGCTCCTCCATCTGACAGAGATAAAAAGACCACTTTTAGCATCAAGGCATGAAAAATTTTTCAGCACATGTAAAACACAATTGCTTTATTCGGTCATACCTGTTGACAAACAAGTCTGAAAGTCATAAATGAAATTTGTTTACATTTTACTGGCATTCTGTAATAAAGAGCAGTATACATCACGAGATGCATCTGTGTTGGGGCATGTCTCCTTTCAATTATTTTTTTCATTGAACTATAACTCTAACCTGGGATGAGATTTTTCCAACTAGTGGCAGATTTTCGATGCTTCCATTGCCAAAGGTCTCATCCCTAAGTAACAGAAGAAAAGAGGACACATTCAAGAAGAGGACACATGCCCCAATACAAATATATGATGTCATGTATACATGAGGCTGACATGCTCATGCTTGTACATGCATGCACACGCCCAAACATTCTTACATTACCTGCTGCATGTTAGCATTGAATTTCTTCATATCAAGCTCCAGATTTTCCAGTTTTGACGTCAGGCCCCCCAACTCATCTCTCAACTGTTGGACTTCATCTTCTCGCTTTTTCTGAAGCTCCTAAAAATGAAAATTAATGTCTATTTTATCACGTGTAGCATAAGTGAAAAATAAATCAAAACTACATTTCTATTTCAACTTTCATTCTGATTTCTAACAGTGATGATTAAAGTTCTTCATCTTTCATATTTTGCAAAAGACTTTTAAATTATGTAATCCAATATTATATAATAATCTTTATTGAGCACTATAATGTGTACACGCTACATTTTACAGGCTCTCTACACTAGTCATAACAACTTAACAACAATTATACAAATCTATACAAATACTTATGGAATGATTACTGGGAAGCAGCACAGAATAAACGACTATTGCTATTGATGGGTGTGTCAGTTATACATAGATGTAATGTAAGAAGCTTCATTTTGTTACAAATAAGTAACTGCATATTACATCATTTGCTTGTAATAAAACTGAGAACATATTATCACAATAAATATATCCACATTCAATGAGAAGAAAACAAAGTACCACCAAAATGTCCATGACTAAAATGTACCAAAAATATATTTAGTCAACTGGCATTTCAATAAAGTAATAGACACAAAAGAATTACATAAAATGCACTTTTCTGTACCTCTTCTGTTTCAGCTTTTGGTCCTTCTACACCAATCTGTGCAGCAGCTTTTTCTGCATCCTGTCGTTACATACACATATACAATACAGAAAATGAAATGTCACATATGTCACTAAACCACCGATATTTATGGAGAAAATATTCTAAAACATTTAAAAGAAAAAAAGTAACAATGATCATGATAATTTCAAAATATAATAAGCACAACATACATTATCAAATTTCACATTTCAACACCATATTATTAAAATAGAGAGCAATTTAAAAAGAAAAAAACAAAGACAATTGGTATTAGCAAGAAAAACCTATTAATGATGCAAAAAAAAAAAAAATTAACAATATTATTCAAAAGCAATGAAGTAACATGTATTTCAAAGCTCTGAAACCTATCTAAAGAACTTTATGCATCAATAACATACCAGTAATTAATAAGTTTTAAATTTACATGGTTTTAACTGAATAACAGGTGTAAGGACATAATAAAATACAAGCAGTCACTTATAAAANTTTGGAGTAAAATTACAATAGCAACCTTTACCCTTTCTGTTAATTAATACAGTCAAAGCTGTATTTGATCATTTATGCTTTCCAGTTAATTCATGGTCCCAACATAAAGCAACCGCCACGATCACTTTAGTTTCTGGCATTCTCTTTTTAAAATATCTCTGTTGATATCACAGTGATCAGAAACATTCTGATCATTACAATTATCAAGCATGGCAGACAGGAAACAGACAATGCTTAGCAGTCGGATTTATAAACCCATTTCCATATTTACTATAGCAGTCGGATTAATACACCCATTTCCATATTTACTAACTGCTAACAAACATGAATTGCAATTAAATTTTAAATGTCAAATCTCATCAACGATTTAGTTTCTCTTTCACTCACCACTCTGTTCTCGTTGAGTTCCTTCACCTCCCTGTATTGCTGTATCAGTGGAGCACGATGCTTCTCCCACTGGCTGGCTAAGTTGACCAATCTCTGGGCACTACTGTCCACCACGCTCTGAAATACCCAGTAGAGCATGAACTTTATATCAGACATGAGTCTAGGTTAAAAAAAAAAAACAAAAAAACTCTGAACATTTATTGAATATCAGTCAAGACGAATCTCAGGAACCATCAGAATAGAATTTAAAAATGCGGAATTCCGCATTTACGCGGAAAACGCTCATGTCTGTTATATTGCCAAATATTAATCTGATTTAATTAAACAAATTAACTTTTCTTGGTCAGGTGCTTTCTGTTAATTACACATGTACTTGGGTCAACTTGTCACTGTCATATTGGTGACATTTGTTACAATTTTGTTATCATTATCTTTGAAAAAACAGGCACAATTTCAGATCACTGTTGCTAGGCACAGTTCACATTCAAGTTAACTACTGTGCTGTTACAATAGATGCTTATTTCAGATGTTATGTTTGACAAATTCAGTGGTCAGTGCATTGAAAGAAATTGAATTAGTTGTTTTTTTTTTATTCCATGAAGAGTTAATACATGGTATCGGTACACTTATGGTTTCCAATATTTCCAATGACAGTCTGTTAAATGTCAACCTACCTGTAGCTTGACAATGTTGTTCTCGGCATCTGGCAGTAAATCTAGGGTCCTTTTTTTCACTTTATACGCCTCCTCTTTCTCCTTATTCTTTCTCTTCTCCAGGCCTATCTGCTCCTCCATCTGACAGAGATAAACAGACCACTTTTAGCATCAAGGCATAAATTTTTTTCAAGCACACGTAAAACACAATTGCTATATTCAGTCATACCTGCTGACAAACAAGTCTGAAAGTCATAAATGAAATTTGTTTACATTTTACTGGCATTCTGTAATAAAGAGTAGTATACATCACGAGATGCATCTGTGTTGGGGCACGTCTCCTTTTAATTATTTTTTTCATTGAACTATAACTCTAACCTGGGATGAGATTTTTCCAACTAGTGGCAGATTTTTGATGCTTCCATTGCCAAAGGTCTCATCCCTGTGTAACAGAAGAAAAGAGGTCACATTCAAAAAGAGGACACGTGCCCCAACACAAATATATGATGTCATGTATACATGAGGCTGACATGCTCATGCTTGCACCTGCACGCACATGCTCAAACATGCTTACATTACCTGCTGCATGTTAGCATTGAATTTCTTCATATCAAGCTCCAGATTTTCCAGTTTTGACGTCAGGCCCCCCAACTCATCTCTCAACTGTTGGACTTCATCTTCTCGCTTTTTCTGAAGCTCCTAAAAATGAAAATTAATGTCTATTTTATCATGTGTAGCATAAGTGAAAAATAAATAAAAACTACATTTCTATTTCAACTTTCATTCTGATTTCTAACAGTGATGATTAAAGTTCTTCATCTTTCATATTTTACAAAAGACTTTTAAATTATGTAATCCAATATTATATAATAATCTTTATTGAGCACTATAATGTGTACACGTTACATTTTACAGGCTCTCTACACTAGTCATAACAACTTAACAACAATTATACAAATCTATGCAAATACTTATGGAATGATTACTGGGAAGCAGCACAGAATAAACGACTATTGCTATTGATGGGTGTGTCAGTTATACATAGATGTAATGTAAGAAGCTTCATTTTGTTACAAATAAGTAACTGCATATTACATCATTTGCTTGTAATAAAACTGAGAACATATTATCACAATAAATATATCCACATTCAATGAGAAGAAAACAAAGTACCACCAAAATGTCCATGACTAAAATGTACCAAAAATATATTTAGTCAACTGGCATTTCAATAAAGTAATAGACACAAAAGAATTACATAAAATGCACTTTTCTGTACCTCTTCTGTTTCAGCTTTTGGTCCTTCTACACCAATCTGTGCAGCAGCTTTTTCTGCATCCTGTCGTTACATACACATATACAATACAGAAAATAAAATGTCACTAAACCACGGATATTTATGGAGAAAATATTCTAAAACATTTAAAAGAAAAAAGTAACAATGATCATGATAATTTCAAAATATAATAAGCACAACATACATTATCAAATTTCACATTTCAACACCATATTATTAAAATAGAGAGCAATTTAAAAAGAAAAAAACAAAGAAAATTGGTATTAGCAAGAAAAACCTATTAATGATGCAAAAAAAAAAAAAAAATTAACAATATTATTCAAAAGCAATGAAGTAACATGTATTTCAAAGCTCTGAAACCTATCTAAAGAACTTTATGCATCAATAACATACCAGTAATTAATAAGTTTTAAATTTACATGGTTTTAACTGAATAACAGGTGTAAGGACATAATAAAATACAAGCAGTCACTTATAAAAAAACATACAAACAAATAATATTTAATAACAATTAACAAAATGTACTTCATACCTGAGCAAATTGTAGTTTCTCTGTGTGTGTGAAACGGGACCCCTTTGTCTTGGAAGTTGCAGCCCCTTTATCACTCATTGAGTTCACAAGTTGCATGAGGTCTGCTGTTCCAGAAGCTGCTGCCTCACCCCTTTGAACACCCTGGCGTAACTGGTCAGCAATCCGCTTCTGCAGCCTTTGTTTCTTTCTTGCTTTGTACTCCTGAAAGAAAAGATTATAAAAAACCTGTCAAGAAAACTATTAGACCACAACTAAAAAAGTATGATTTTTATTTTCATCTTATCAATGTAGACTTAATATACGATTACCACATTGCTGTTTACAATATCAGTCAGGATGTGTCAGTGAACAGAAGTGTAAGGGTGCATTCACTATGAAAATATCATACCAGGTAGTTCGACCTAACTCCACTGAATGCAATTAGTTTAACATGTCTCTTCTTATTTCCAACGTATTTTTAGTATCTCTAGCTTTTCTGTATTCTACTCAATGGCAGGAGGAAGCGGTATACATACAGCGGCTCTGTACACATACCAGTAAGCCTGTGTTCTGCATTTGTCTAAACACACACACACACACACACACACTGTAACATCACTTTTTTAAACCACTAATTTCATGCATCTGCTGTTTCACATTACTTCTACTTGTTTACCTGTTGTGTGAGGCGGGAGGCCAGGCCCTGCTGGTTCCATTCAAACTCCCACTCCTGCTGTGATGTCACTTCCTGCGCGTTCTTCTCCAGCAACGATGGCGCAAGTTCATGTTTGTGAAGCGGCTGATGGCTTACCAATGGCAAATCTTTGCTATAATAGGCTTTGATTTCTGCAATGTTTAAGTTTATATTACAAGTGGTCAGGTATCGATTTATCTCCGAATTGTTATCATGGGTTATCAAAATTGTGATGTGTCATAATCTGAGAAATGTCAGAAGTTATCATTAGTATTGCAGGGATTTCAATCTTATCTTTGAAATACTGAAATCAATCATTGCAGATGAGATATGGAATAAGTCAAAAATGAGGGCAATTTCACATTGAGTTTTATATCTCAGTATTCCACCCGTTGTAGCCAATTTTTAAGAGGTTTATCATATAATTATGCTGCAGGGATCAACTCTTTTTTTACCAGTTTGCTTCTACCTGTAAACCTGTATCTACCATGTGTTAATTATTTAATAAGAGAATCTCTTCCAACAAAACTTCTCTATTAAGCTGTAAATCTCTCAAAAACATACTAGTACTTGTAAGAAATGATGCTTGCTGTGAAAAAGCCTTGACAATGGACCAAACATACATGTAGTGCAGGGTCATTTAAGAATTTTCAAAGCAAAAATTACTGACAGTTCCAGATATTAAGCAATCAAGTTTGAAAAGATTTTCAGTCACAGAGTCAGTATTCAGGGGCGTAACCAGGCATACGCACGGATGCACTGTGCGTACAATTTTTTGAGCCAACCATGATATTATTCTTCATAAATTCAGTGTATTTTTCACGGAATATAATCGTACCTGAGAATTTTCAAAATCTGTGCGTACAATTTTAAATGGTCTGGTTACACCCCTGGTATTAGTAGTAATCATGGGTAGATGGAGGCTGTCTTCTGGGTTTTCCAGAAGACGTTCAGAATATCAAGTTTACATTGATGGGCATCTAATTTTTTTCTGTCAGAAGATGCTTAAAAGTAGAGGACAGATCAACAAAGATAATTTGGAAGACTGTCAGAAAATATCTCTGGATTTGCCCCTGGTAATATTCAAAGAAGTGTAAAGAGGAAGTTACCTTTGGGAATTTTTTTGCTCAAGTCCCCACACCCTGTTGGCATGGTAACAGCTCTGGCAAGAAACCTGTGACTAGCACTGCACCCCTGTTACCATGGAAACAACATTCTGGGTTATACTAACATTTAGTTTTAGACAATTATTTCTTTTTCCACACATATATATATATATATATATATATATATATTTTGTAAAGTCAATCATATATGCTTTACTTCACTTAGCTATGGAGTTAAAACAAACAAAAAATCTACAGACAAAAATTTCTATGCAAGTATTAGGTTAGAGAACAAAATATTGGGTCAATAGATATAACAAGAAACAACCTGAATATTTCAAGTATCAGTGACCTGGATGTACTGGGGTAATAAAGCTGACATTCTGCTTGACTCTTTGTGACAAAGAACAAATGTCGTTCCAAGATTTAATTTTTTCTACTGATTTACTGGTTTTCTTGTTTGTTTGTTTTTTTATCTCACAGAGATGAAGACATTTCACCTTACCTCTCTGACTAGACCAGCTGGTTTGCCCCTGAGAACTAAATTATTTGTTTTACAATATGGGGGACTCCACGGGCCGCTTAAACGTCTGGCAAGCTCAGCCGAGATAGCTCTTTGGAGTAAAAGTGAAGCACCTTAGAAACAAAAGTGAAAATTAACATCAAAACACAAACAAGAAAGATGTTTTGATAGTGAATGATTAACATTCACACTATGAAAAACAATGCTATATCTATTTTTGATAAAATTCACTATGCCAAGAAAACCTTGTACACCTTGAAAACGGGTAGTGTGATCTGATCTACTGGTGAATTTGGGATCATTTGGTGCAGAGTCTGGTAGTTGGGTAGGCCTGTCCTTCCAACTTTTCTTTTCACAGTCAATGACCTAAAAAACTTCTCATAAACAGGCCCTTACCTAATGTTTCTTCCACTGCCTCTCCACTTTCCCTGGGCAGTTTATCTACCAGAAACATGAACACCCTCCTGATGTCAGCTTCATTGGAATAAAGGAAGGTCTGGTAGCCTATCTCTCCCCGGTAACCAAGGTCCTGAAATGATGATCATGATACTTATAATTATAAAGTTCTTTAACACTATGCTATACATTCATCTCAGGGCTATGTACAGTATAACATATTAAAACTTAAAATTGTAAAATATACTCCTAAAATAACCAATAAAAATCCTTAAATAAATCACTAAAAGTATGGATAATACATTAAAAATTTGAAAGCATACCAATTAAAATTAAAATAAAATACTCAATTACATAAAATATCATATCCAATTAATGTTTATACACTTATTTGAAGATACTGGAATACTATAATGTTATACCAAATGATTATCTGAAAGATATCAAAATCCATTTGTTTTGTAAGCAAAGCATTACTTGAGTCTCTGTGTTTCAATTGTGGAGTAGCATATCAGCCTTTTTTGTTGATTCAGATCAACAGGGAACTTATAACTTCTGTTCACCCATGTCTTAAAAGTATATACACTGAGCAGGAAGCAATGGTTAAACCATGCAGAATTTATACAACCGTTTAAAGTCAATTTCTTGTTGCTGGGGTAGCGCTAACACTTGCCAAAACTGACTTAAATTGGCTAAAGAAAAAGGGCTTGCTTTGACATGTTTTAACCAAATTATAACTATTTTGATAACAAATTGACAAAAATGTGGTGATTTGGCTAAGTGAAAAAACTGCTAGCACTACCCCAGGGTTGGTATATGAACTGCACTAAAAAGCTTATTATTGATCCTTTTCCCTGTAGACTTGACATGACAGACTTACTGTTAAGGCTTGTGCTAACGTCGTGCCCAGTCTGAAGCGTGCTGACATGCCAGGTGGCAAACTGGTGGGCAGCTCCGTCAGGCCACTGATCACGCGGAGACATTTTACTGCGGCCTCTACTATCACCTCTGTATTGAACTGGTGTAAGCTTTCTACGCTTTCATCTATGGAACTAAAAAGAATTTATAATTATTCAAAGGCAACTGTTTAATCAGCTACATTCCCAAATAATCAAAATGTGCTGATTTTCATTCTCAGTAATCAGATGAACCTTATTTGGCAGAAGTGTATATTTTTAGGGGGGGAGGCGACCTACCTTTTCTGAACTTAATAAAGGGTAATAAAATCATCATGACATTTATAAGCCAAAACATGGATACTATACTTGTTGTATAACTAACATTTTAGACATGAAAGTGAACTTCAAGTGATTTTGTCACAAACGGTGAGAAATGCCACGACAAAAATGGGCCACATATTCCTTGGTACAGCGGCACTGTTGCGTTGATGCATGTTGTACGCCGACCATTCAACAGACCGCCGACAGGAAACTCTCGGTTTGAAACGTGCATTATCATATTACATTGCCGTCCCAGAGCTCCCTTGATGCGTAAATACAAGAAGTGATATCAAGGCAATTATATTTTTTTCTATGACAGATGCATCAAACTTAAACACGATATCTTACCAGCCTATACTTCGTAAAGAGTGGATAATGATGTTATCCACCTCCTCCATTTTGCACTGTCATGTGACTTGGAATTAATCTCGCATGGAATAAATAAAAATACATCATTTCTATGTGAGTGAGATATCATAAAATCTTGAAATAAAATTGAATGAAAGTGGTATATTTTCTGTGGATTTTATAGACTTTTATTTGCTAAAATGAGATAATACTCGTTTTTGTGACGTCATAATAAACTCCGTGCCTACTTTGTTTACAGTAATGGCGGATTGCTCAAATTTTTGTTGTGAAGGTCGTTGACCGTTTGGTGATGAATCTATCTTATTCATTTAACTTAGTCGGTTATATTGACCAGTGAAATAACTTAACAAAGAAAGAGTGAATAGAAATTTTAATTTTCAGGAATGGCGTCCGAAGAAGTGAGCTTTTTACGCGATCAAGGTAGCGTCTAACCTTTCATTCATTTAGTTAAACAGAATATGTTTTTGAACACTTGTTTTCTGTAATTTAACTGTGTAAGAAGATTAACGGAGGAATAAAGATAAAACATACCTTGCAAATTTGGTTTCTATGCCCTCTGAATAAGGATACCGTCAGCTTCATCTTGCCTGCCTTGGGATTAGAGGTCCTTTGTCTGAATCTTTTAAAAGGTTTCACCTACCAGTAGCTTTTTCTGTGCTTTTTTGCGTTAGAATTTAAATGGAGCAGATGTAGTTATGTCAGTGAAAAAGATTATATTTGAAACACTGTGGTTGTTCAACAAAATCTATGTTTACAAATATGTACAGTTCAAATATTTCGCTGTCTATTTTCCTTCCAGTGAGACGGTTGAATGATGTCCTCAGCCAGTATCAGTCTCAGTATCCTCCTCTAAGTCTACAGCCAGTAAGTCTTGTCTAATTGAAAAACTCAAGTTTGATTAAAAGACATGCAATAGATACAAAATTTTGCTGCCATGGAAGATGGGTTTAAATAATAAAAAAAGTCTTTTATTACAAAATGTAACAAATGCAGTCTAATTGGTTCGGTAGATCTAGATGCTGCAAATACATTGTCTGTAGTGATTTGCAATTTATTTCTTATGTGCTCTGTATTATAGAATGTTTTATTTATTCTAAGTAAACAGCAAGTGATGCTATTGAATTATAATCTGTCCACATACTAGTTGGTTTTCTAGCTCAGCTGTGCTTTGGGAGACCATGTCTGTCTCTTTCAGAGGAGTCATCACAGATAGGTTGCAGCAAGTTGACATAAATGGTTGTAGGTCATGTTAATGAGCTATGTCAATGTTTCGTTTTTAGGGAAAAGGCAGTGATGCTTCTCCACCTTGGTTTTCTGATAAAAGGTAGGTGCATCAGAAATTAAGAAAATTATTGATGTTGAGAGAAGTTGATTTTGTTGCCTTTAATGAAAAAAAAAGTCACACTTACTAGTACTTGTATTGGTAGACAGTGGGTTTTGTAACATTGTCTTGTTTCACCACCCTATATGGTGCCCTCTGGTTAAATAAAAAGACATCAAATTATCTTTCTCGAAGGTTTTTATAATATTCAAGGTCTCACTTATTGATATTTTTTCCTGGTGTATTTCAGCTTGTTGTCACCTTTAGTGGTGGAATATGACAGTGTAATTCAACAGCTTAGGAGAGAGATTGAACGCTATAAGGTAGTCAATTTATATTCTAGTGTTTAAGTTTGAAATTCTCAAATTCTGATTCAGATGTACTTTTTACCTCTTGCTACCCCCTCCTCTCTCTGTCTTTCTCTCTCCCCCCTCTCATTTCTCTCTCTCTCTCTTTCTCTCTCCTCATTTTCATCTATTGTTCTTCACTGAGTATTTTTCTCATTCATAAAATTTTTCTTTCACCATTTTAGGGAGAAATTGGAGAACTTAAGTCACATCTAGAGAGATTGGTATCTGAAAACAAAAGGTAGGAGGAATGTTCTCAAAGAAACAGTGCTTCATCTTTATCATGGTGAAAAGATATACCATGTTTAACATTAATTTATATCAGGGGGGTATGGGAAAAGTGTTGTGAATAACTGTAGCATTGCTGATTTCTTTGAATTAAAATTTATTTGATAAGGAAACATATATCATTGTATTTTCAATTTTCATTCTTCCTAGGCTGACAAGGGAGTTGAAGGAGAATATTCAACATCAGTTAGAGGACTTTGATTCAGAGGCCTTGAAGCCAAGCACTGGAGAAGATGATGAGGTTTTGGAAAACCTACAGCAGCAAATCATGGCTGCTTTACAGGTATTAATTAGTTTTTCTTTTTGTTGTAAGATGTCTTTTCTGGAAACATGTTGTTCAAAATGACAGATCTATAGAACAATCATTTTGACAAGTTGAATTTAAACAATACAATCATCTAATCTTTGCTTACCCAGCATTGCCATCTTTGGACTCTTCCTTTGTGCTACTTTTATAATACTTTAAATTTGCAAACAGTTGACATATCAAACATTTCATAAGCAGAATTTTACAAGTACCAGCTTCTTGTTAGCAAAACAAAACAGTCCGTAATACTGATTTGCCAACTTTATACTTTATAGAGTTGGTGCATCTGTTGCTTATCAAATTTAAAAAAATCACCCAAAAATAGATAAATAAATAAATAAATAAATAAATAAATAAATAAATAAATAAATAAATAAAATAAAAGGAAAAAAAGCAAAGAGAAAAGGATGTGCATAAGTGTTGAGGTCAGTGAGACCAATAACATTTACATATTTTTGTACTGTAATAGGAGAAAGAGTCTGCCGTTCAGATGTGGCAGGAGGCGTGTCAGGAGGTGGAACGCCTGGAGCAGCAGATTGAGGACTCCAGAAATGATCCACGGTTTAGACATCTGGAGACACAGGCAATGGCTGTGAGTTGAAGTTTCAAATCTGTTCATATCTAATAGTGCAAATGAGTTGCAATCTTATCCTTAGTTTTAACAAGAATACTTTAGGCTGGAATTTGGTTGACTCGANACGGCGACGGCGACGGCGTCGACGGCGACGACAGACGCAGGTGATGGCAATATGTACAGACACATCTGTGTCTGTACATAAAAACATACAAACAAATAATATTTAATAACAATTAACAATATGTTCTTCATACCTGAGCAAATTGTAGTTTCTCTGTGTGTGTGAAACGGGACCCCTTTGTCTTAGAAGTTGCAGCCCCTTTATCACTCATTGAGTTCACAAGTTGCATGAGGTCTGCTGTTCCAGAAGCTGCTGCCTCCCCCCGCTGAACACCCTGCCGCAACTGGTCAGCAATCCGCTTCTGCAGCCTTTGTTTCTTTCTTGCTTTGTACTCCTGATAGAAAAGATTATTAAAAACCTGTCAAAAAAACTATTGGACCAAAGCTTAAAATGTATGATGATTTTTATTTTTATCTTGTTAATGTAGAGCTAGTTAATATACAATTGCCATGTTGCTGTTCACAATATCATTCAGGATGTGGCAGTGAACAGAAGTGCAAGGGTGCATTTACTATGAAATTACTGTACTAAGTAGTTTGACCTAATTTTCGCTGAATGCAATCAGATTAACATGTCTCCTCTTGTTTCCAATGTACTCGTATAATCTCCAGTTTTTCTGTATTCTACTCAATGCCAGAAGGAGGCATGTTAATCTTTTAGTCTTATTGCCTTCAGTGAGAATCCCCATGGAGTTAGTTTGCAATACTGGTACATAGTACCTTAGGGAGCATTCCCATAGATTTAGATTAATCCAGAGATTTAGATTAAGATAGACCTAACTCCCTGGGGGTTCACGTTAAATTGCAGTCAGCCAAGCGTGCAACATAATTAATTACCCCTACAGCTTTTAGTAGGCGGGACATATGCTCGAGCCGGCTAAGCAGACAGTAATCTAGTGAGACTACCCACAGGGATAGATCGATCTAAAATCTATGGGAATGGGGTCTAAGTTTCATTGTGAATGCACCTTCAGACATAAGAAGCAGGAGACGGCAATGGAAAGAGACCCTTTATAAAGGGACCAGCATGATAACCTAGAATACAACATTTCTCTTTGGCTCTGTATACATACCAGTAAGCCTGTGTTCTGCAATTGTTTAAATGTGCACACACGCACACACACACACACACACACTATCATATCACTTCTTTAAACCATTTATTTCATGCTGTTTCACATTACTTCTACTTGTTTACCTGTTGCGTGAGACGTGAAGCTAGACCCTGCTGGTTCCATTCCAACTCCCACTCCTGCTGTGATGTCACTTCCTGCACGTTCTTCTCCAGCAACGATGGCGCGAGTTCATGCTTGTGAAGCGGCTGATGGCTTACCAATGGCAAATCTTTGCTATAATAGGCTTTGACTTCTGCAATGTTTAAGTTTATTACAAGTGGTCAGGTATCGATTTATCTCTGTATTGTTATCATGGGTTATCAAAATTGCAGTGTCATTACTAGTATCTCAGAAATGTCAGAAGTTATCATTAGTATTGCAGGGATGTCAATCTTATCTTTGAAATACTGAAATCAATCATTGCAGATGAGATATGGAATAAGTCAAAAATGAGGGCAATTTAACATTGAGTTTTATATCTCAGTATTCCACCCGTTGTGGCAAATTTTTAAGAGGTTTATCATATAATTATGCTGCAGGGGTCAACTCTTTTTTTACTTCTTGCTTTTGCTTCTACCTGTAAACCTGTATCTACCAATTGTTTATTATTTAATAAGAGAATCTCTTCCAACAAAACTTCTCTATTAAGCTGTAAATCTCTCAAAAACATACTAGTACTTGTAAGATATGATGCTTGCTGTGAAAAAGCCTTGACAATGGACCAAACATACATGTAGTGCAGGGTCATTGAAGATTTTTCAAAGCAAAAATTACTGACAGTTCCAGATATTAAGCAATTAAGTTTGAAAAGATTTTCAGTCACAGAGTCAGTATTAGTAGTAATCGTGGGGAGATGGAGGCTGTCTTCTGGGTTTTCCAGAAGACGTTCAGAATATCAAGTTTACATTGATGGGCATCTAATTTTTTTCTGTCAGAAGATGATTAAAAATAGAGGACAGATCAACAAAGATCATTTGGAAGACTGTCAGAAAATATCTCTGGATTTGCCCCTGGTAATATTCAAAGAAGTGTAAAGAGGAAGTTACCTTTGGGAATTTTTTTGCTCAAGTCCCCACAACCTGTTGGCACGGTAACAGCTCTGGCAAGAAATCTGTGACTAGCACTGCACCCCTGTTACCATGGAAACAATGTTCTGGGTTATAGTACATGTAGCATTTTATTTCAGACAATAATTACTTTTTCCACATAAATATATTTTATAAAGTCAATCATATATGCTTTACTTCACTTAGCTATGGAGTTAAAACAAACAAAAAATATACAGACAAAAATTTCTATGCAAGTATTAGGTTAGAGAACAAAATATTGGGTCAATAGATATAACAAGAAACAACCGGAATATTTCAAGTATTAGTGACCTGGATGTAATAAAGCTGACATTCTGCTTGACTCTTTATGACAAAGAACAAACGTTGTTCCAAGATTTAATTTTTTCTACTGATTTACTGGTTTTCTTGTTTGTTTGTTTTTTACCTCACAGAGATAAAGACATTCCACCTTACCTCTCTGACTAGACCAGCTGGTTTGCCCCTGAGAACTAAATTATTTGTTTTACAATATGGGGGACTCCACGGGCCGCTTAAACGTCTGGCAAGCTCAGCCGAGATAGCTCTTTGGAGTAAAAGTGAAGCACCTTAGAAACAAAAGTGAATATTAACATCAAAACAAAAACAAAAAAGACATTTTGATAGTAGATGATTAACATTCACACAATGCAAAATAATGCCTTGTCTATTTTTGATAAAATTCACTATGCCAAAAAGACCTTGAACCCCTTGAAAACAGGTAGTGTAATCTGATCTACTGGTGAATTTGGGATCACTTGGTGCAGAGTCTGGTAGTTGGGTAGGCCTGTCCTTCTAACTTTTCTTTTCACAGTCAATGACCTAAAAACTTCTCATAAACAGGCCCTTACCTAGTGTTTCTTCCACTGCCTCTCCACTTTCCCTGGGCAGTTTATCCACCAGAAACATGAACACCCTCCTGATGTCAGCTTCATTGGAATAAAGGAAGGTTTGGTAGCCTATCTCTCCCCGGTAACCAAGGTCCTGAAATAAGGATAATGATAGATATATTTATAACCTATCTCACCTCGGTAACCAAGGTCCTGAAATAATAATAATAATAATAATAATAATAATGATACTTATAATTATAGAGTTCTTTAACATTATGCTATACATTCATCTCAGGGCTGTGTACAGTATAACATATTAAAACTTAAAATTGTAAAATATACTCCTAAAATAACCAATAAAAATCCTTAAATAAACTACTAAAAGTATGGATAATACATTAAAAATTTTAAAGCATACCAATTAAAATAAAAATAAAATAGTCAATTACATAATATATCATATCCAATTAATATGTTTATACACTTATTTGAAGATACTGGAATACTATAATGTTATACCAAATGATTATCTGAAAGATATCAAAATCCATTTGTTTTGTAAGCAAAGCATTACTTGAGTCTCTGTGTTTCAATTGTGGAGTAGCATATCAGCCTTTTTTGTTGATTCAGATCAACAGGGAACATATAACTTCTGTTCATCCATGTCTTAAAAATATACACTGAGAAGGTGCAATGGTTAAACCATGCAGAATTTATACAACCGTTTAAAGTCAATTTCTGGTTGGTATATAAACTGAACTATTAAGCTTATTAATGACCCTTTTCCCTGTGGACTTGACATGGCAGACTTACTGTTAAGGCTTGTGCTAACGTCGTGCCCAGTCTGAAGCGTGCTGACATGCCAGGTGGCAAACTGGTGGGCAGCTCCGTCAAACCACTGATCACGCGGAGACATTTTACTGCAGCCTCTACTATCACCTCTGTATTGAACTGGTGTAAGCTTTCTACGCTTTCATCTATGGAACTGAAAAGAATTTATAATTATTCAAAGGCAACTGTTTAATCAGCTACATTCCCAAATAATCAAAATGTGCTGATTTTCATTCTCAGTAATCAGATGTACCTTATTTGGCAGAAGGGTATATTTTTAGGGGGGAGGCGACCTACCTTTTCTGAACTTAATAAAGGGCAATAAAATCATCATAAGCCAAAAAATGGATACTATACTTGTTGTATAACTAACATTTTAAACATGAAAGTGAACTTCAAGTGATTTTGTCACAACCGGTGAGAAATACCACGACAAAAATGGGCCACATATTCCTTGGTACAGCGGCACTGTTGCGTTGATGCATGTTGTACGCCGACCATTCAACAGACCGCCGACAGGAACTCTCGGTTTGAAACGTGCATTATCATATTACATTGCCGTCCCAGAGCTCCCTTGATGCGTAAAAACAAGAAGTGCTATCAAGACAATTATATTTTTTTCTATGACAGATGCATCAAACTTAGACACGATATCTTACCATCCTATACTTCGTAAAGAGTGGATAATGATGTTATCCACCTCCTCCATTTTGCACTGTCATGTGACTTGGAATTCATCTCGCATGGAATAAATAAAAATACATCATTTCTATGTGAGTGAGATATCATAAAATCTTGAAATAAAATTGAATGAAAGTGGTAAATTTTCTGTGGATTTTATAGACTTTTATTTGCTAAAATGAGATAATATTCGTTTTTGTGACGTCATAATAAACTCCGTGCCTACTTTGTTTACAGTAATGGCGGATTGCTCAAAATGTTTGTTGTGAAGGTCGTTGACCGTTTGGTGATGAATCTATCTTATTCATTTAACTTAGTCGGTTATATTGACCAGTGAAATAACTTAACAAAGAAAGAGTGAATAGAAATTTTAATTTTCAGGAATGGCGTCCGAAGAAGTGAGCTTTTTACGCGATCAAGGTAGCGTCTAACCTTTCATTCATTTAGTTAAACAGAATATGTTTTTGAACACTTGTTTTCTGTAATTTAACTGTGTAAGAAGGTTAACGGAGGAATAAAGATAAAACATACCTTGCAAATTTGGTTTCTATGCCCTCTGAATAAGGATACCGTCAGCTTCATCTTGCCTGCCTTGGGATTAGAGGTCCTTTGTCTGAATCTTTTAAAAGGTTTCACCTACCAGTAGCTTTTTCTGTGCTTTTTTGCGTTAGAATTTAAATGGAGCAGATGTAGTTATGTCAGTGAAAAAGATTATATTTGAAACACTGTGGTTGTTCAACAAAATCTATGTTTACAAATATGTACAGTTCAAATATATCGCTGTCTATTTTCCTTCCAGTGAGACGGTTGAATGATGTCCTCAGCCAGTATCAGTCTCAGTATCCTCCTCTAAGTCTACAGCCAGTAAGTCTTGTCTAATTGAAAAACTCAAGTTTGATTAAAAGACATGCAATAGATACAAAATTTTGCTGCCATGGAAGATGGGTTTAAATAATAAAAAAAGTCTTTTATTACAAAATGTAACAAATGCAGTCTAATTGGTTCGGTAGATCTAGATGCTGCAAATACATTGTCTGTAGTGCTTTGCAATTTATTTCTTATGTGCTCTGTATTATAGAATGTTTTATTTATTCTAAGTAAACAGCAAGTGATGCTATTGAATTATAATCTGTCCATATACTAGTTGGTTTTCTAGCTCAGCTGTGCTTTGGGAGACCATGTCTGTCTCTTTCAGAGGAGTCATCAGAGACAGGTTGCAGCAACTTGACATAAATGGTTATAGGTCATGTTAATGAGCTATGTCAATGTTTCGTTTTTAGGGAAAAGGCAGTGATGCTTCTCCACCTTGGTTTTCTGATAAAAGGTAGGTGCATCAGAAATTAAGAAAATTATTGATGTTGAGAGAAGTTGATTTTGTTCAAATTATCTTTCTCGAAGGTTTTTATAATGGTGTGCAATAACATTCAAGGTCTCACTTATTGATTTTTTTCCTGGTGTATTTCAGCTTGTTGTCACCTTTAGTGGTGGAATATGACAGTGTAATTCAACAGCTTAGGAGAGAGATTGAACGCTATAAGGTAGTCAATTTATATTCTAGTGTTTTAAGTTTGAAATTCTCAAATTCTGATTCAGATGTACTTTTTACCTCTTGCTACCCCCTCCTCTCTCTGTCTTTCTCTCTCCCCCCTCTCATTTCTCTCTCTCTCTCTTTCTCTCTCCTCATTTTCATCTATTGTTCTTCACTGAGTATTTTTCTCATTCATAAAATTTTTCTTTCACCATTTTAGGGAGAAATTGGAGAACTTAAGTCACATCTAGAGAGATTGGTATCTGAAAACAAAAGGTAGGAGGAATGTTCTCAAAGAAACAGTGCTTCATCTTTATCATGGTGAAAAGATATACCAAGTTTAACATTAATTTATATCAGGGGGGTATGGGAAAAGTGTTATGAATAACTGTAGCATTGCTGATTTCTTTGAATTAAAATTTATTTGATAAGGAAACATATATCATTGTATTTTCAATTTTCATTCTTCCTAGGCTGACAAGGGAGTTGAAGGAGAATATTCAACATCAGTTAGAGGACTTTGATTCAGAGGCCTTGAAGCCAAGCACTGGAGAAGATGATGAGGTTTTGGAAAACCTACAGCAGCAAATCATGGCTGCTTTACAGGTATTAACTAGTTTTTCTTTTTGTTGTAAGATGTCTTTTCTGGAAACATGTTGTTCAAAATGACAGATTTATAGAACAATCATTTTGACAAGTTGAATTTAAACAATACAATCATCTAATCTTTGCTTACCCAGCATTGCCATCTTTGGACTCTTCCTTTGTGTTACTTTTATAATGCTTTAAATTTGCAAACAGTTGACATATCAGACATTTCATAAGCAGAATTTTACAAGTACCAGCTTCTTGTTAGCAAAACAAAACAGTCCGTAATACTGATTTGCCAACTTTATACTTTATAGAGTTGGTCAATCTGTTGCTTATCAAATTAAAAAAAAATCACCCAAAAATAGATTAATTAATTAATTAATAAAAGGGATAAAAAGCAAAAAGAAACGGATGTGCCAATAAGTGCTGAGATCAGTGAGACCAATTACATTTCCATATTTTTGTACTGTGATAGGAGAAGGAGTCTGCCGTTCAGATGTGGCAGGAGGCGTGTCAGGAGGTGGAACGCCTGGAGCAGCAGATTGAGGACTCCAGAAATGATCCACGATTTAGACATCTGGAGACACAGGCAATGGCGGTGAGTTGAAATTTCAAATGTGTTAATATCTAATAGTGCAAATGAGTTGCAATCTTATCCTTAGTTTTAACAAGAATACTTTAGGCTGGAATTTGGTTGACTCAAGGCCACCAGATTGATAAGCAAGTGTTGCCACTTCTGCACCAAGAAAAAAATCATAGGCATACTTTTCTAAAACATCTCCAGTGGAACTGTCCCAAAGTATTTTTACTTCTATAACACCCTTTCTCCTTTCAAACCTTTTTCTTTTCATTAACTTAAAATTTAACTAAATTGGTAGGCACAAGTTTTCCAGTAAAATGTAAGAGATGGAAAAACAATGTATATTAGGCTTGGGTTTATATTTAATGTTACTTATTTATAAGTTTGTCCTGTTTTAGGTGAAGGAGCAGTATACCAGAGCAGTGGCAGATTTGACTGCTGAAGTGCAATCCCTGCAGGAACAGCTGAGGTATAAACAATTGATCAAAGAAACTGATTAAAGAATTTAAAGAAAGGTATAGTCTGTGAAAAAAAATACATGTTGCAGTTTTGGACTTTTTACCATTTGTTACTGTGTGGTCCTATATGCATTCAAAGATGGGTCTTCATGAACCTTCCCCAAAAGAATATAGCCACCAAGTCATAATTGCAATAATATCCCTACGATGAAGATTTTTAACAAATTGCATTAGTGACCCTGTGCAGAGTTACTCACAGCAACCAGTATATATTAAAATGTTGTATTTATTGTCAAATACAGGTTTTTTAATATCAATTGTTGCAGAGTTAGCAAGAATGAGGGTAGAACAGCCAACATGCAGGCAGCAGAACTGCGGCAGACACTGGAAGTCTTGGGACAAGAACTGCTGAAGAGGGAACAGGAGAGAGACGACGCAATCCGTAGAGTAGGGACATCTGACAGCAGGGAGACGGAAATGAGGGAGATTATAGTTGAACTAGAATCAAAGTTAGTTCATATATATATTTTTTTAATTTTGGTGTCATTCAATTCCAAGTGCTAATTATTACAATACAGTTTAATTATACTGTGTATTACATGTTGAATTTGATTTGCTTGAAAGAAAAGCTTTAATACAAACTCATACTGATATTTGTACACTTAAACTTTATTTGCAAAAATCAAGATGTAAGAACTCTCTTCAAGGCTTATCTAAAATATAATTCTGATCAATTGTGGCAGACATCACAGAATAACACTGTATGGAGTTTTCACTTGTTTTGATGAAATAATGCTTTATTTTTGGTTTGATCTTTTAGTATATTTTCAATATTTGTGTTTGCATAATAGATTGTCTACCCAGAACTATGAGGTGGATCAGCTTAAAAAGGACAAGACAGAACTGGACCAAAAACTAACAGAGCTTCAAAAGAAAAAGTGAGAAAATGTGGTTTTGAAATACTTATGTATTTTAAAGTCATCTTTCATTATTGTACTTATGTTATTTGAAAATAGTGTTATAATAATATTATATCATTTTTTTTTTACAATTTGAATTGGCAATATGAAGACATGTGGCATTTTGTAAAGACTAATAAATCAGTGAGAAATAAATCATAGAAGCAAATTAAATTTGAAAGATTTATGGTAAATTTCATTAATATTATTTTTAAAAATCCCTTTCAGTTCTGATCTGGAGCAAAAGGAGTATGAATTTCATTTGCAAAACAGGGAGAATGTTCAAATGGCAGAGAATGCTTTGTTAGAAAAAGATCAGGTATGAAATTAACCCATCTTTTTCTCTTTCAGTTTCAATTAAATTATTGATTAATAATATCTAAATAGTTATTTCAAGCAAGATTATATAATTTGATTGTCACTGTTTGAAAAAATTCTTTAGGGAGCCAGTTTTGATAGATATAATATTCTGGGGAAAATGTAAATCAAAGAAATAGTGATTTTCTTTGCATTTGCAAGGTTTTTAGTGGATTAAATACAAATGCTTTAAGCCTGTTTGGTCATTCTTCCATCTTTCCTAGGCTCTGCTCAGAGAACAGCAACAAACAGAAGAAAACCAGAGACTACAGGACCAGATGAGTAAACTGATAGATGAGGCTGGCCTCAGGACCAAGAAAGAGGTTAGTAAACTGGGAGATCAGTGCCATGCCAGTAGGTCTTAGTGATATGTGTGTGTATATATACTGTGGTTGTTTATTGTGGCTGATATAAAAAATCCCTTGTATAATGAGTTTGATGGTGTTGTTGGAAAAGGAAAGAAAAGAAAAAAATAAGCAAGAAAAAATGGAACATGCACATGAAAAATAAACAAATAAAAGAAGAAAAAAAAACATTGAAGGCTGTTTGAATCAGAAAAATGACTAAAATTCTTATCTACTAAGTTATATAATATATACAATTAAAGTATCAAATTAGGAAAAAGTGACATAAAGCAAGGAGCTGAGTCTCCCTTTTTTCTTTCAGGTGGAAAATATCCGTAAGCAGTGCAATAACAATATTGCTAAACTCATGGAAGAACTTCAGAATATGGAAATGGTAGGTTTTAGTACAGACTTTGAATACTGAAAGGCATACATTCACTTATTTTTATACACATAATTTTATAGGCAACAACCTGGATCACTTGCAATATCTTACACATGTATATTGTATTGCACATACAAACAATCTGTAATATACCATTTATGAGTAATAACAACATTTATTCATTCTAATTTATTGGAAAAACTTGCAGTGTCCTATATGTTTCACAGTCATAGGTTTTTATTTAGTGAGTTAACCTGAAAAGAACAACTCATTAATGTTCTTACTGTCTTTTTTTCCCTCTTTTTAGGACAACAGTGAGAAGCAAGCCCAGCTTGAAAGAGCTATCAGAGAAAAGAGAGCAGTGGAGTCTGAACTAGAAAAAGTATGTTACAAAACTACATAGTGGTAACAAATATAAGAAACAATCTTTTGTAATACTTCATTTATTATTCTGTCCCCTGTGTTCAAACTTTTGTCTACACATCATAGTGAATATTTGATTCATCCAGTAATGATATAATGAGAAAATAAAATCTAATGCTGGATTTTATGTTGAAACGGAGATTAAAAGTCTATAAAGTGTTCACAAGGAAATGAAGGATGGCAGATACCACTGACTATAGCTGCTGCATTGTTTGATAAATTGAATTGTCAACTTCATTTTTTCCTTCTTGACTTAAAATGTTAAGGTATAATTTTGTTGCTATAAATGACTAATTACTAATCAAAGCAACATGTCTGTGTAAAACAGTGATGTGTTTACACACACTCACACACACACACACACACGCACACACTCCATTTCCATTTATGAGAAGAACTAATGGGAAATCACTATTTAATTCCTCCCTGCAGCTGTATCAGGAAGGCTTGGTGATGGGAAGTAAGGAGCAGGCAAACTATGAAGAGTTGAACAAAAGAGCTTGTCAAGCCGAAACTCTCAGGGACGAAGCTGTCATTAAGCTGGAGTCTCTGCAGGGGAATGTGAAGAGAATGGAGATGAAGTATGTTATGAAGCAAATGAGTGGATGTTTTTTTAGTTGTCCAGTAGAACTAGAATGAGAAATGTGTATAAATGTCAATGAATCTGGAGACCAGTCTATCCTGGTGAGAAGTCTCAGGTTGAGATGGCAGTGTCATATAGTTGCTAAATGTAATTTCCTGAATTTGATTTGTACACATTTCTCATATGTTATCAAAGCACTTAGAGCACTTAGTATCTCTCGCTCTATGTGTGTATAAAAGTTATAAGCATTGTTAGTGCCTTTGTGATTTTCTTAAATAATGAACTTGCTTAAATTGATAAATGTACCACCTGAATCAGTTTTAATATTGAAGGATTTTGGGTTTGAATATTTCTTATGGGTTCTATGGTTTTCAGATATAAAGTTAAATGTGTCTAATTTTTCAGTCACATTCAGGAGAAATCACAACTTCAAATGCAAATTGATCAGCTACGTGAGCGTGTGACAACAATGTCGCAAGAATTTGAGGATGTCAACCAAGAGCGTATGAAACTGCTTGACGAAACTGATAAATTAAAAAGAAAAATGCAGCAGGCACAGAAAGAAAAAGAAGCTGCAGATAGGAAATGTAGCAAAGAGGTGATTAATTTACATATTTTATGAGAGATTTTCTGGGGTAGCGCTAGCAATCTTTTTCGCTTAGCCATATCACCACATTTTTGTCAATTTGTTATCAAAATGGTTATAATTTGGCTAAAACATGTCAAATCAAGCCCTTTTTCTTTAGCCAATTGCAGTCAGTTTTAGCATTTGGCTAAATTGGCGAGTGTTAGCGCTACCCCAGATTTTAGATGTAAACTGTGTGATATTGGATGTGAAGGGATTTTCTTTTTGGAAGGAAGTGGGGAGGAGAGAGGGATTTTTAGAAGTCTTATATAATTAAAAAAGTTCATTTGAAGATAGAATTAAAAGACATCTTTATAATTAATAATAAAAAATCAAGGCTCTCAGTTAACAGTTTCATTTATTTGAAAGCTCATGTGGATTATAGTCATCCACGCATAATTTTTTTCTTGAATGACTAATAATAAATACTTTGAAATAAATAGGATATTTATGATACTTTTTGGTTTATTCAGAGATATAATGTTCATTTCATTCATTTTCTACAGCTTACCTTACGAGATCAGGAGCAGCTGATGAAGGAGCGTGAGTGTGAAGTGCGCATGCAGAGCATGGAAGATGCACACAGACAGTCCACCAAAGAACTCAGGAATATGCTGTTACAGCAACAGAGAATGGGGGCCAAGTGAGTAAAAAAGGAAAATGATTTTGTAATTAATCAGTAGTAAGGAAAAAGAAAAAAAAATAAATAAGCAGTTGATCAAAAAACCAAAAAACAGAGTATAAGGTGTTAGAATTTAAATAAAGGACATTTGAAACATTGCTATGAATTTGTTGTCTTTTTTTACGTTTGCTTAATAGAATTGGGGAATTTTGTCTAATAATGGTAAAAAGTGTCCTAATTATTTCGCATTTAAAATTAATAATTTAAAATTAATTGCTGTAGATGGAAAGAAGAATGCCAAGCAATCAGCCAAAAATTTGAAGGCAAAATAACAGATCTGCGAGATGAAAATGGCCGTTTGAAGCGCAGAGCAGAGGAGCTGACAAGGCTCCTGGAAGAGTGCAAAGAAAAAACTGTACAGGTATTTGATTCAGATATGATCTACTTGTTTAAAGTCTTGCTCATCAAGACCTGGTTTGTGCATATTACCATAATATTTAAAAAGAAAAGTTAGACAGAAAGGTGCTTCAGCAGGTTTTACCCACCCATTTTCCTTGTATGTATTTGCTAAAAGATTGATTTTGGTTTTAAGTGAGACAGGCTATTTTGAAATGTGACCAGAGTCAGCCGTTCCAGATATTCATTGAACCAGTTGGTAAATAATTAAAAATTAAATACTATTAGGTTATTTACTTATTTAGGACAATCGCTTAGATTAACCAATTGGTCATTTTAGGCAGAAAACCTTGTTATAGAATATACCAACAATATTAAGAAGATGGAGAATCGTGTGAGAGACGCAGAGTCACGAGCCCAAGATGCTGCTACACAGGTGACTGTAAAAATATGAAGTGACTTAAACACTTCAGAATAAAACTGAATACACAACTGAAGTTAAATTGAATTAATCTGTGATAGGTCACATGGACAATATTTAAAGAACAAAGAATTTTTTTTTAAATGTTTGAGATGTTCTGAAATTTCATTATTATTATTATTATTATATATTCATTTTGTGCTAGATTGAACTGTCTTCCTCCAACATACATAGTACATATTATCCATTGATACTTTTTTTTTGTGATGCCTGCAAGTCATTTGTATGGTCATTGATCTTTAATTTATAATATGGTACCTGCAGCAGTTCATAAAATTTCATTAATTTGCCAGGTATCCAAGCAATTGGCTAGAGAACGTAGGATGAGGCAAGAAAGACGCTTCCTGGCCAGTGAACTGGACAGGTCACAGTCAGGACATCCAGGGGTCAGGTAGGTGGTGTGAGCACTGGACTGGACAGGTCAGCATCCACACATCTAGAAGCTAAGTCTGTATTCAGCTGGACACTAGTTGGTCTGTAACCCAATAGGCCATGCACGCATTGCTTGAGATTCTCATTGCCAATGAAATAGTCACACATGTGATACAGAGTACNGACATCCAGGGGTCAGGTAGGTGGTGTGAGCACTGGGCTGGACAGGTCACAGTCAGGACATCCAGGGGTCAGGTAGGTGGTGTGAGCACTGGGCTGGACAGGTCACAGTCAGGACATCCAGGGGTCAGGTAGGTGGTGTGAGCACTGGGCTGGACAGGTCAGCATCCACACATCTAGAAGTTAAGTCTGTATTCAGCTGGACACTAGTTGGTCTGTAACCCAATCCATGCACGAATTGCTTGAGATTCTCATTGCCAATGAAATAGTCACGCATGTGATACAGAGTATATTTAATGGATGAATTTCTTTATGTTTTCTAAAAATCCTTAGCAGTCTTTAATTTTTTATCTTCTTGCAGGTTCCAAGCACCACTGTTAATGTCCGACTTGGCATCTAATGGTCAGTCTGGCCGTGTGTCCCGAGAGGACTCCCAGTCCGAGCACAGTGACCATAGTCTACCCCTATCTCATGGCCGATAGCCTCTCTTAAATCAGGAGGTCAACTAGCACTGGACATTCTTCCTGGTCTCTTTCTTCCATCTAGATACCGTTTGTTCATTGTAAATGATCTATTGTGATGAATGCTTAAGCCTACTACTGACCTAAGTTGATAGATACAGGCATAACTGTTATTCATTACTTTTTTTTGTGTTTTACCGATACAAAAAATCATTGGGTCATAATTTTATATTTTAAAGTACTGTTAACATTTTTTGTCTGTTTATAGGGCTTCATTCTTCCTGTACATGTCTGATATTATGATTATCAAAAAAGGACTACATTCACATAATTATTGAATAATTTTTTTAACAGAGGTGTAAAACTTGCAATAAAACTGTATTATTGCACATTTTGCTGATTTTTTACATATTTGCAGAATTACTGAAGTTCACGAGAAAAAAAAAATCATGTGAAGTTTACTAAATGATTAAAATGTTTGAGGTAAATTGGTCATGAAGAAACATGCGCTGAAAAGTTTATTGTCCACTCTTTATCTCAGAGGTGTTGTGCAGAACAAAATTGAATTCTGATTGTCGTAAAATTTAAGTAAAATTAACACAAAACAGTTTTACCTTCTAGGCTAGTAAGTTTATTACTTGATTTGGTATGTTCCACATGCGGTGTGATATTAATCTAGAATAATATGCTCTGTACACAACTTATTCACTATTACTACATTAAAATAACATAAATTATACCTCATGAGGATTTGATGAATCTAGCACCAGTATAATTCATATCAGAATCTCCAGTTTAATTTTCCATTTTTTTTCTTTCGTCAAGTAATAGGATCTGCTTAGTCCTTTTAAAGTCTTCATAGAGGCAGTATTAATGAGATCTACTTTTGAAAATGACAATCTTGTATTAATGACCTGCAAATGAATCCTCAACTTCACAATTTATATTCTTCTCTTTTATATAACAAAGATGGTGTTTAGTTAATTATATAATGGTCTGCAAGAGGCCATCACAACATGCTAACAAGTCTATAGGTTTCCCTGCCTGCAGAGGATCTACCACTAATAAGACAATCATGAAGTCTTGTTCATAAGTTATAAATTTATCTATCTTGGTTGAAAAAATTTTCAATTTCTATCCTGTTTGTTTCACTTCATCTTCATTTGCTAAATGATATCTTGCAAGGGGTTTGCTTGCTAAATTCTTAATTTGCTCATTTCACTGAACCCTGACTGCTGAAACATTTCTAGAATTAATCAGTATTATTGCTTTTGCCATACAGTAAAAAAAATGTGTACAGTTGTCAATCAGTGAATATCAATAAGAATTCTAGGATAAATAACTAAAGCCCTGTAATTTATTTTTTTTTTTTTTCATTTGCAAAAAGGTACTTATTTATCAAATGCAGTTGCACAACCCTGTTTGACAAAGCAACATCCTCAGTTTCATAATATTCCAATATTATCTTTATCTAAAAAGTATAATTGTCCAAAATCTTTGCAGTACTTAACCAGCAACCAGGCAAATTACAATACGTGTATCACACGTCTCACAACAAGACGGGCGGAAAAGACATTTTAAGCATGATTTAACAACTATTCATATTTCAAATGGCAATAATGGCCAGTAATTAACTTGGGCAGTTTGACAAAAAGGAGTTCTGGCAATAACTTGCCTTGTGTTTACAAATGCCATAAGAAATGCAATCAGGAAACTCAGTGCACAAAATTTTGAAATTGACATTAATTTTACAAATAAATGGTACAGACACTGACAATAGTAAGCAAACATACACAAGATAAATGGAATGAAATAAATAGCATCCAAAATGCAAATTTGGAAAAAATGTCAACATTTTAAGATCAGTTGTAAAACTTTGTAGTGACTGAAAAAAGGATTGGAAGAAAACTCTATAATACAAATAAGTGGGCAACAGAGACATACATAACAAAATAACTGAGCCAAATATTGAATTGGCAATATATTGCATTATCTTAAGCATACATAGAAATCTTTTGAAGGACAGAACATAAAACAAAAATTCCCAAGCCCTAAATTTGATGGTTTTTGCTTTAAACACATAAAACCAACACCCTTTCAACAATAAATGCAAGCAGATTCCATCATTCAAGTTTGCTTTTTTTCCATCAAGTATACTGTAAATCTTATTTTGCTCTTTTATCAAAAATGAACACCAAGTAGTATATAAATTCTGTTAATTGATGCTGCAAAAACATACTTATCTTCAAAAGTTTCTTCAAAGTATAACTGTTGTCATTTTTTTTTTCAATTACTTACAGTCACTAAAATGTGACTATAAAAAGTCATGTTATGCTACAAAATATAGAAATATAGTTATACTTTAGTTCCCTAGAGTTAAGTCCCCAGCCCCAGAACTTGGTCTAACTTGTAGCTCAACCACTTTTGTGAAGTCCACCATCAGAACATACCCATTAGCATCCACACATATCTTTCTCATTTTCACTCTCTCTCGACTGGCTAAGCCTTCTGCCATCCCTGGACTTTCCGACATTTATCACCCTGTTTTTCACCATACCAGCCAATTTAGGTGACATCATCGGCTTCGAATTCTTCAGTTTGTGAGCAAGGGTCATAAAGATGGCATCAACGTGGTCACAGGCTGAGTCATCTTTGGCCGATGTTTCAAACAGGGGCATGTTGTGACTGTCCGCAAATTTCTGAGCCACATTTGTGGCAATCTGAGCTTTGTCTCTCATATCACACTTGTTGCCAACGAGAATGCGAGGAATGTCAGTATTCAGGTGATGGCGGTCACATTCGTCCACCCAAGAGGGCATGTTTTCAAAGGAAGATGCCTTGGTGACATCGTACACAAAGACCACTGCGTGCACATTGCGATAGTAGTGCTGGACCATGCTCTTGCGAAATCTCTCCTGGCCTGCGGTGTCCCACAGCTGTAGCTGGAAAGTTTATAAATATGAAAGTTATAATAAGCAATGAAGTCAACCTGATATTGGATTATTCTGAAAAATTGAATAGTAAATTAACCTTTGTCTGAGCATGTAAGAAAAATTCTAACTTACATGCTAGTAATAGCACAGTACGATCGTCACAATGAATCAACCCTTGTTCAGCATATAACTTATAATTCTAACTGACTTACTGTACTAGTACTAGCAGTACAGTACGTAGCACTACAGTACAATAACATTAGCTAATTACACATGACAGTCAAGTTTCTAGTCTGATCTAATTATAACAAGTTCATACCCTGGAATTAGCACTATGGAACTGACAGTGATGGCGCATACTCTGCATACCAATGTGAATTTGGTTGGTGAAGCAGGTAGAAAATGGGGGGGTGTTTACCTTTATTGATTCCCCGTCAATCTCTAATGTCCGTTCACGGAAATCAACTCCTATAGTTGCTTCAGTCTTTTCAGGAAATTTGCCTGAGCAAAACCTGTACGTGAGACACGTTTTGCCGACATTTGAGTCCCCTATGACAATGATTTTGAATATCCTCTTTTGTGACTTTTTCTCGACGATGACTGTTGTTGACGTCTCGAAAACCTCTGTAGTACCGGAGGTATTTCTGGGTGCCTCTGTCTTGGCTTCGCCGTCTTCTTGACTCATATTGTCGTTTGCACTGTAGGTATCTACATAAAATTTACCATAAAATAGCAAAGATATTTACAAAATTCCAACGTCAGTGCTATTCGATACGTGCACAAAATTACTTTTTAAATATAGTGATATCTGCGCGCACAAGCTTGTAGAAATACCTTTGTCTACAGGCGCGCGTTATACCCTCCTTTACAACTTGTGTTTTTGTATTTACAAATAAAGATAAATTAACCTTGATGCTCCCAAATAATTTTGTAAATAATGATCTATTCAAAATATTGAACACTTGTGGTTTGAAGTTTACTTTATTAGTCTCACATTTTGGCAAATCTCGTGAATACGAGATTGTCATTCCAGGTCGGCCATATTGACCAAGTACCACGAGGTTCCAAAGTTACCTTCAGTGAACCTGGCTTGGACTGTCAGCGGATGTAGAGCTATATATTCAAGATGCCCACAAACCAACCTCTGCCTCCGAAGGAAAATACGCTTTTCAAACGAATATTGGTGAGCGTACTTTTCATTGTGAAAAATATCCTTAAAGTTGCACGTGATAGGCGGTCTTCGCCAAAATCTTTCAGAGATGCGTCTCTTCCGCGGTAGGCCCTTTATGATTCAGTTGTTAAATTGTCAGCTATTAAAGGTCGCTTTATTCCACGCGCTGACAAATCGACTCTCTCTTGGTCATAAGTTTGTCTAAGTCTGCAGTATCCATCGTAAAAACGTATATTCGGGCTTTAGGCGTGCAACTTTTGTTGGGCGTTTCTTGCCAGATTTTATTTGACTTTTTTTCCGGTGCCGGTAGGTTACCTCTTTACATTGTTTGTAGTGCACGGGTGCATTCCTGTATCATGCGGTTTGAAGGCAAGTCCCTCCTCGAGCCATGGTCCCATGACATTGAGGATTTCACATAAAAGTTATCCCTTTAAAAGATACCCTAGCACTTCAAGTGCTAAAGATCCCCTGGTTTTTTTCTTACAGGCACACTATAGATATTCAGTGTGATAACTAATTTCAGTAGTTGATTGCCATTATGTCTTGCACTTACTGAACATAATTGTCACAGACATCATACAAAACTCCTGTAACAGATACTATACAAAACAAACGGTAGTGCAATGGGAATTTTAAGTATTTTAAATAACCCATGTTGTATAAACAGTGTTAAGATACAAATTGCATTCTTGGTGCCTGTGTTACATGCATTTTGACTTTTTTTCAGAAATGTTATGAACAAAAACAGTATAAAAATGGGCTGAAGTTTGCCAAGCAGATCCTGACCAATCCTAAATATGCAGATCATGGAGGTAGGACATGTATGGATAAAAAAATGAAAATTATGAATTATCATCAGTATATCTAATTACAGGGTAAAGTCTAACCTGTGAACAGTTACAGAAATCTGGCTGTACACAAATTTGGTTAAAACCGTTTTGCACTCAAACTTCTCAAAAAGTATCAAGGTTTCCTATCATCGTTGATAACATATTTTTGATTTTAGAAACTCTGGCCATGAAAGGTCTGACCCTGAATTGTATGGGCAGAAAAGAGGAGGCATATGATTATGTCAGAAAAGGTCTACGTAATGATCTTATGAGTCACGTGTGTTGGCACGTCTACGGGCTACTGCAACGCTCTGACCGCAAATATGACGAGGCAATCAAGTGCTACAGGAATGCACTGAAATGGGACAAGGTGGGTGATATTTCTTACTGTGGCTCGTATGCTTGGCTTAGGACTTATAATAGTGATATTGTTAAATTATAGCAACCATGTTGATGTTATTCAAAGAAATAAAGAGGAATAAAACCTTTTTAAAAATTGTTTTGAATTAAAGGAAATGTTAATTTAAAAAAAGGAAATGATGTGTGGAAGTATATAATGTAGGCTTTCCTGAATTACAGATGTAAAGAACAAATGGATTTAATCTCTATTTTGAGTCGTATGTAATGGCTAGGCTGAAGCTGCTGTGCATTCATGGCGTGCACTCTGACTACATTTTTACTTTAATTTGCTCTGTAGGACAACATACAGATTCTCAGGGATTTATCTTTGCTGCAGATCCAGATGAGAGATTTAGAGGGATATAGGGTGAGATGGAAATTTGCTGTTGATTTTGATACATGGTTTTATTCACAAAGTAAGCAATATTGATTAAGTAATGGAAGTGGGGTGGGTAGTGGCAATTGAATGATTGAGTAATTCGCAGTTCTTCTGAATTCATTTTCCCATTTGTTATAGCGGGTTACATTTGAATATACTGATTACCAAAAAAAAAATGGTGCATAGAGTCAAAATTATCTTCAGATGATGTGTTATATATCCTTAATGATAGAGACAGAAGCTGAAGTTGGGTCTTAATGGTATAGTTTGTGAAGTCTTAAATTGATGCAAATTTTAATTGTTCTAGTCTTGATTTCATCCTGTAGGATACCAGGTACCAGTTGTTGGTACTACGTCCAGGTCAGAGGGCGTCGTGGATAGGGTACGCCATGTCTTATCACTTGCTCAAAGACTTTGACATGGCGCTCAAGATCCTGGAAGAGTTTAGGAAGACACAAACGGTAGGCATGAATTGGATTGGATGTGTATGTGCTGTAAAAAGCCATTTCAGAATTATGTTAGAATTCTTGTTATACAACTTATATGGATATGAAAAGTTATCAGATGTTCGTGCAAAAATTGTCCTATGAGGAAAAAAAAACCCTAACTGTAAGCAAAAACCAAACAAATGGAAGATTGATTGACAACAGCTGCTTTTTTGAATAAGCATTGTTGTTATTCATATAACCATGTCAACTGAATGACACCAGCATACTGCATAATAATTTAATACACGGGATTTATTAGGGTTTTTTTTTTACCCATGCAACAGTGAAGCAGGTATATCTATCATCATCTTCAGGCTTTTTGCAAATGGTGGATCTTTCCAGCTGTTACATCTGTTAAGTTTGGACCATTTTAAAGCTAGATATTTGGATTCCCATTCCCAAACTGTTCTTTTAGTTGTATCCCATATTTCCCAGGTGAAGCCGTTTGACTATGAGATCAGTGAACTTCTGCTGTACCAGAACATGGTGATGAGGGAGGCTGGAATGGAGGAAGAAGCCAGTAATCACCTGAACACACACGATGCTGAGATTGTGGATAGGTTGTCCATACAGGAGGTCAAAGGTGCGGAGACATTTTTGTGACTGGGGGGAGGGGGGGGGGGGGGGGGGGAAGAAATGAAAAATGAAACAATTCATGTAAAGAAATGGCATCCCAAACAATGTCTACAGAAAAGTGTAGTCCCCTTGTTTTGCTCATGGAAGGAGAGGAATACAATCCGTAATCCGACCGTTGTGGATAAAATTGTCAAATTTTTAAGATTAATTTTGTCAAATTGTTTTTGAATATGTGATCGATTTGGGGAAAATAATTTTTGAAATGAAGGGGGGGGGGGAGAGAGAGAGAGAAAGCAAAAAATGCAAGAATGACGACAATATCAGGTTGGAATATTTTATGTCACCTATTATGGATTTTTGCATTCAAAACTGCATTTGTTCCTATTTGCATAATCTGTTGTTGACAGCCTGACAATGTCAAGCCTTTTCCCATGTGACCATCCTGTTATTCAAGTAAAAGCATATTATCAGATCATATTGTTTAACCATCTGTGCAGCACAGCTGTCAGCTGCTGATATTTCTACATAGTGAAATTACCAGTGCGTTAACTTCAACAGACCTTCCAAAACAAAACAAAAAAATTCCATGTAATTTGATATACCAGCAGACTTTACCCTACATTAGTTACTTTTTTCCCTTTTTTAAAAATTATTTTTGTCATTAATATTGTGTATGGAAAGCATAATTTAAAAGAAAAAATATTTGATGATTTTTTAGTAACGATGAAAAATTATGATTTTGCAAAATGGAGATGTAAGCTTTTATCCAATTTCTTATTATCAGAGCATCTGTAAACTTGACTAATACATTGATATCATTAATCATTTTCTTTAACAGCTAGTTTACTTATGAAAGCTGGTAAAATGGAGGCAGCAGCCAAGATCTACAGAGAGCTTATAGACAGGAATCCAGAGAATTGTGCCTACTACAGTGGTTATGAAGAAGCTTCTGATCCAGGTGGGAGGTCAATCTCATATCTCAGATTAGGAGTTTTCATCTCTTTTTGTTGGGTATCCACCTCTGTGTTAACAAGATTTAAAAATTTTGCTCTATGTATTTATATGTACAGAAAAAAAGGAAATTTAGGAGAGGGTGAGATGATGCCATCCATGATATGTAGATCCCTTGCTTTGTTGATATTTAAGCTTTTAACTCGGATTCTTCAGAACACTGAATTAAGAAATGTTCGTTGTGAGCATTGATTTACTTCTCACTTTGGTGCTAAGTGTATCAAAATTGCATCCAGTTACTGAAATGTTCAAGATTTCCATTTCCACGATCAAAATAGACTATCAATGATTAAAACATTGACTTGTGGGTGTCTTTTTACCTTATATTTTGAAGTTATTCAAAAGTTGACTGGTGCCTATGTTAAAATAACTAAGTTTAAATTACTAAAGAAATTTCTCAAATTGAATTCTCTTTAATACATATAATATTTTTCCTGCAGCTTCTCCAGAAGAAAGGTTGAAATTGTACCAAGATGTTCTGGCAAAGCTTCCGCGTGCGTCTGCTCCTAAGAAGTTACCTCTAGGATTCCTAACAGGTAGCTGTATAGTAAAAAGAGTACCATTTTTTATTTTTTATTTATTTATTATTATTTTTTTTTATTATTATTATTTCTTTTTTTAACTGAATTTGTGGAATTGGTATGTTTGCAGTTATTTACAAAATCTTGTGGAAAAATTCAGGTGAGCCTTCTGATGCTCATTTAAATTGGGGCTTAAATAAGCTCATCACCAGTGTTATATTTGATGTGCTCATTTGGGACAAAAAGAGACAAGATATGCTGTTATTCCATGCACATATTTTTTTAAGTACACTTTGTGCAGAAAGAGACAAAATGCCAGTATTATTAAACTACTCAAAAGCACTTGGAAGTTTTACCCCTTAGAAAATGTTAGAAGTCGAATAGTAATTTTTTGTGTTTTACAGGAGAAGCATTTAGAAAGAGAGCTGATGTTTTTCTAAGAAATGGTCTACATAAAGGTGTTCCCCCTCTGTTCACAAGCCTTCGTCCTGTTTACAAAGATCCAGAAAAGGTGGGACGTAGAAACAGCTTTCATTAATTGACTGAAGTTTTTTTAATTCCAAAATTATTGATTTTGCATGTAGCAGTTGGATTCTAACAATTTATGTATTTACTTTTGGGAAAATTATTATAGATTAATTGTATGTGAGAGAATGCTTCCAAAGACTAAATGAATGTAAAGGTCTCTATTTTTGATTTTATTTTGTGTTGTATGACTTCCAGGTCAAAATAATTGAAGAATTAGTGTTAGGCTATGAACAATCTCTACAAGAGACTGAATATTTTAGTCCAGAAGGTAAGATTTGTTTCTTAGTGAGTTTATAGAAGTTGTAGATAGAAAAGTTGATGTTTTGATAGATGGCAGCAATAGATTTTGTTAAGAGAAAGGAATGAGTTATACTTGCAAATCGCTGCTTTGAATGGGATTTTTTTACTTTTTCACTATTTACTTTAATTCCCAATGTCAACTACATGTTATTAAATCAAAATACAACATGTACACAAAATCAAAGTGCACATTGCATATTATTTGATTTTTGTCATCATCTTGTTTTTTAGACGTAGGCAATGCAGAGCAAGAATCGGCATCAGTATTACTTTGGACCCACTACTTCCTGGCACAACACTATGATTTCCTGAACCAAACCGAAAAGGCACTGGCCTACATCAACAAACCCATAGAGAGCACACCAACTTTAGTTGAGCTGTATGTACTGAAAGGGAAAATATACAAGGTAGGGAGAGTTAATGCAATGTGTAATGGTAGATACTCATTTAAATTCAACAAAACAGATAAGGCACATTTATATAGGTTATTCTCAGTGATATCTACAGGTTATTGGAAAGCTCTTGTGTAGTGAGTTGGGTTTATTGTCAATCTCTAACCTCACAGAAGCCAATTATCTTAGTCCTGTTCAATGTTCTGTGATTTTGCCCCTTATATTTTATCACATTACTTGTGTTCTCTGGGGTAGCGCTAACACTCGCCAATTTAGCCAAATGCTAAAACTGACTGAAATTGGCTTAACAAATTAGGGTTGATTTGACTCATTTTAGTCAAATTTAAACCATTTGTACAAAAAAGCAATGAAAAAGTAGTAATTTGGCTAAACGAAAAACAATTGCTAGCGCCACCCCAGGTTCTGTTACTTCACCTTGGTAGTATTAAATTACTTGGTGCTGTACTATGTTACTATACCTCTGTTATATGCTTTTACTTGGTTATATTCTTTACTTTATCTGTGTTTTATACTGTTATTTGATGTTATATTCTTTCCTTTACCTGTGTTATATTCCATTACTTGGTGTTATCTTCTTTATTTGTGTTATATTCTATTACATTACAGCATGCTGGTGATATTCACAGTGCGGTAGAGAACCTGGACGAGGCCCAGGCCCTGGATACAGCCGACAGGTTTGTCAACTCCAAGTGTGCCAAGTACATGCTGAGAGCTAACATGGTCAAGGAGGGGGAGGAGATGTGCTCCAAGTTCACTAGGGTAAGTGAAATTCCCATCAGGATAAGTAGGTAGTGTGTTTAAGAAAATGTTTCCCAAAGGTAATATGATCAAAGCTCAATGTTCAAGTGAAAGTCCCAATAGGATCAGTGTGTTGTAAGTTTAAGAAATATTTCCCAAAGGTGATGTGATCATTTGCTCAAGTTTGGGGTTGGGATAAGTAGGTTGGTGTGTGAAAAGTTCTAACAGTGTAAGTGCATGAAAATACATTTAAAATGAAATTAAGAGGTGCTTTTTTTTTTGGTTGATTGTCTGGTTATTTTGAGGCTACTTTTGTTTTACTTTGTAATGCCAGTGTAATAAAAACGTTGTTAAAAGGCATTTGATATTTAGAAAATGCTAGTTTTGTATGCTCTCCTATATTTTCAGGAGGGAGTGGCAGCTGTGGAAAACCTGAATGAAATGCAGTGCATGTGGTTTCAAACAGAGTGTGCTGCAGCATACAGGAGGCTAGGGAAGTGGGGAGAGGCCTTAAAGAAATGTTGGGAGATAGATAGGGTAAGTTAAAGGTGATTCTCAGTGTCAAGGTTTTAAATAAGTAATGTTGGAAAAACCACATGGTTAAGACTCTGAAATATAAAAACAGTGGGAATTTCTGAAAAAAGAAATTTATATATTGAAGCATAAGTTTTCTGCCTCTGTGTTGCTTGATCACTATGTTCATTTTGTGCTCGAGTGTCAAAAGAGGCAAACAGTATTATCCTTTAGCAATGTCCAGTAAGCATTCAGTCTTGTGGTAGACTGTCTGCACGTTGCTTTAGGAGACAATAGTTGAAAGATGTGTTACTTTCTGTAAGGTATATCGAGTAAAACATTTTCATTGTTCTTTGATTTTTGATGATTGAAGAAGAAATTTTATAAAGATGAAACGGTATTACATCAAAAGCCATGTTTTTAGTTAAGATTTGCTGGTTGTGTTTAAAATGATACTTCATGAGGCCTACCACATATTAGTGTGATGGTTTCAAAATGTATTTTAGCATTTGGTTTGATATTGATGATTTTATTTTGCTTTCAGCATTTTACAGAAATTATAGAGGATCAGTTCGACTTCCACACGTACTGCATGCGCAAGATGACATTGCGGGCGTATGTTGGGCTTCTACGTCTGGAGGACAGGCTTCGTAGTCACCGTTTTTATTTTAATGCAGCAAAAACTGCAATAGAGGTATAGTTAATAGTTTTTCAATAAAAAAATGGACTTTTAAATAGGGAAAATGCTCTATGAAAGTAACTGCTCATTTGTTTTCAGTACAGAAAAGAAAAATATTATTATAACCAAATAGTTATTTGTCTGATAGGTATTTAATTACTTTCACTGTAAAAGGTGTCTTAGACCTGATTAGAAGACTGCAGATTGCATTTTAGTATTACCTTAAGCTATTTTCTGAAGAAAGTGTTTTCATCTTTTAGATCTATGTTCATCTTTGTGATCACCCAGTGACGGAGAATGAAGAAGATGAACAGGCAAACACAGGTATTAATAATATTGACATTAAGTGTTTTTTTTTTTTTTTTTGTTTTTTTTTGCATTGTTTTGTTTGCCAGGTTTACATGATTAATTTATTAAAGTCATGATGTTGATTAGATAATGAAAATGAATTTTCAGTCTTACCACTGGAGTGTAAATGATGTTCTCCAATAGATCCTTCAGACTTCCCAAAACAAGTACTCATTGGGTGGAGAGGAAGACCATGTTTCCCTGATACACTCCTTGTAGTGACAAAAAATTCTAACACAATGCATGTCAAAGAATTGTAGCAGCAGAGAGGGGCCAATGCGTGGCTGTCACTTACATTGATATGCTCCAAAAGTAGATTCTTTTTCTGAAAAGGGGACAGTGAATGGCTCCATTTGATATCCTACAAGTCTAAAGACACTGGTCATCACAACTTTCTTCTTGTGTTTTGATGTTTTTATTTTTATTTACACTGCATCTCTTTGTCCTGGCTTTAGAAAACCTTACACCAAGCGAACTGAAGAAGTTACGAAACAAGCAGCGAAAAGCACAGAAGAAGGCGGCACTGGAGAAGCAGCGGCAAAAAGAGGAGCAGCAGAAACGGGAGGCACAGAAAGCCAAGGCACAAGACCCAGACCAGGATGGGCCTAAAGAAGAGGATTTAATCCCCGAAAAATTAGCTAGGGTGAGCATGGCAGATTTCTACAGATAGTGCAGTCAGTACAGGCCTTACCCAATAGATCTAATCACCAGATGGTCATTCTTATTCTCTGGGAAATTTTGATGTCCCAGAGTGCAGTGGGATCTCTATATTACTGTCACACCAGCATGCATGGAGATAGCCCTGCATGTGAGTAGTGGAGGTCTTCCCATCCCAAAGATTCCTTTGTGTGAGTGTAAATGATGTTCTCCAATAGATCCTTCAGACTTCCCAAAACAAGTACTCATTGGGAGGAGAGGAAGACCATATTACACTGATACACTCATTTGAAACTCGTGTTAACAGTGCAGCAGTTATGATAACATGAATTAGAAAAATGTCAATTAATAGACCTGTAAGGGGGAGGGGGGAGGTCTGTTGGTTCAAGAGAATCACTTTTTGGTAGGGAAAGGTCCACTGTGAAGCAAAATTTGATCTTGGTTCTAAGAACTCTGGTTTTGTGGTAAAACGTTGAAATTGCTCGGTACAGACCTGATTGTACTGTATAAATTCAATATTTAATATTTCAGCCTGAAGACCCACTGGAGCAGGCAATTAGATTTTTAAAACCTCTTCAGATGTTAAGCTCAGATAGGATAGAAACACATGTTCTAGCTTACCAAATATATTCTAGGAAAGGTAGGCTATATTTATATTTATACAAATGTTTGGTGTGGCATAACAGATATATTAAAAAAAAATTATTAATAATTATTGATATAACAGGTGTACTCAGAAAATTTATTTTTCCACTCTTTGAATAATGCAAAATTGGCATATTTTAATTTCTCCTACAGTTCATATTTATCTACAAAATATCAGTGCTCGGAAAAAGAGGATTAATATGTGCAGTTTGTGACAATTTCCTCTAGTCATTCCCATTTTCTTAATCACCCAGGTAAATTACTCCTGATGTTGCAATGTATAAAACGTGGTTGTGCCGTGGATAGGAATAATCCCCAGTTCCATGAATGTTTAATGGACTTTTTAGAGAAAGGTGAGACTCTTGAGTAAATAGCCATTACATTATTTGTTAGTTTTTGATACTGTCCATTAATAATTAGGTAGAAGACATTGGAAAAGATTCGAAACAAATGCAGAGTAATCCACACTTAATTTTAAAGTGAAATTGTAGCTTTTTGTTATGCATACATTTATATCTATTTTGTATACGTAATGAAAGTTATGGGTGATATATTAATCAATCATATAAAACTTAATACTTTATATCATAGTTTTAATATTTCCCTCCAATTTCAGTCAAAAGTCAAGGTGACCTGGCCAGTCCTGTCAGCAGTGTTCTGAAGCAGAGCATGGAGGTGATCTATCAGGGCAAAGACACTAGAGCTTGGAACAATGAGTACCTAGAAAAGAACAGCGACTCTCTACCACATGTCCTGACAGGTAAATATCATGGTGCTTTTCAGCCAGTTTTTAGAGTGACTTCTCCTAGGGTTTTTCTGTAAAGCGACCAGGTTTCCTTTAAACACATTCATGTGTATTTACCTGAACTTTGGCACATTCGTAGACAGACCTGGTTCCTTCAAGCACTCAGCAATTCAAAAGGCCACCCTTATCAGATTGGATGGTTAAAAAAAGTTATAAGTAACTAAAAATCATTCCAAACAGTTTTCTGGCTGTACTTAAACATGTTTAAGATAAAGATTCAAAATATGCATCTCCAAAATATTTCACAATAGAATATACAACTGAAAGCTTTTACATGTCTCATTTAAGTATTGAAAGAGTTAATTCCTAAGATTTATTTTGATGCTGCTGTCATTTCAGCTGCCAAAGTAATGTATAAACTGGAGCCCAAGTCACAAGACAAAGCTGTGGTGTTGGCCACAAATCTGGATCTTAATGGAGTCACGATACAGGTAAATATAGAAATATTGATAACAAGATTTTGTAAATAAAAAGAAAATTGTATACCTGCCTCTAACAAATTTGGTTTCATTGAATTAAAGTTGAAGCAATATTTTCATGGCAGACTGACATAAACGAGACAGTTTTTTTAGTCAGGATTGATAAAAATTGATCACTGTTACAGTTATTAACAGGGATGAGATTTTTCCAACTACTTTTGGGAGCCAAAAATAACACTGGCCAATGCTGTCCCCTGGACCCCACACCATATTTTCTGACTTTTTCCCTTAATGCTAGTCTCATACTTGTGTAAACTAGAGATTGCATTTTTTTCTTAGATGAAGGCTACTCACTTTCTTTAACTCTTTTTAGAACTGTACAGAGGTGCTAGAAAGCCTGCGCCGTGGAGATCTAGGACAGTGCGAGGCAGAGGCTCTGGAATACGAAGGGAAATGCCACGAACGCTTTAAATATGCAACGGCTTTCATGGGACAAGGAGGGAGGAACCATGTTCACGAGCACATAGGTCAAAGCACAGAATGCAATCATGACCACCCCATAGAGTCCTAGCATTTGTGTGTGGGGCAACGGCGTGTTGGTAGAACCTGTACGGTGGGAAAGCAGAGAGAGATTGCGATTGCGGAGGTGTGTGCGGGTGCTCATGCCTTCTTCACCAGCTCATGGAAGTTGCAGCAAATTTGGATCCCAAGTCTGTTTGTCCTTTTTTCTTCCCCTCAAACAAACATTGTCTGGTCAAGTGGCAGTGCCGTTTCAGGTTGATGGAACCTGTTTTTGTGGCGACAAGATGAGGCTTGGATTCAAGAGACTGCAGTGGACTTGTATGGAAGTTGCTAAGCTGTTTGGACAGCCAAGATTGACCTTTGCCCTATCTGTCATGTGCCAGTCGTTTTCATCAACTTCAGTGTCACAGCATATGGCATGGCCACACCCCAAACGTGTTAAACTTTGTGCACGTTGCAAACCATTTCTCTCCCACGTGTTTTGGGTCATAAAAAAACTCTGCAATCCAAGGTTCTGTCATAAACCAGACCATCATCTGTGCTTTTATGCTTTATGTTATAAGTTGTTTTGTTTTTTTTATTCATTTTTTAAGAGTGAAAGACGGGTTCTTGTGATCCTGTCTTAAGTGTTATCAATTCTCACTACCAAATCCAGTACCTGTGATCATCATAGTGTTACCTTGTCAATATTATACATTGACAACACGTCATTTATTATTGATCAACAAACATTTGTTATTGGTCTTGAATATTTAGGCGGTCTGTGTAGCTTGGATCCTCATAGGGTGTTTGCAGCATTGCTAGTGGTGTGATTTATTTTGTTCGTTTGAAGACAACTGGCTCTGTTCTTGTTTTTTGAGGTCATAGAACGTTAAAAAGCAAGTTTTGATTTGAGATTTGACAATCGAGTTAAAGAAGGAAGAAGCCAGAATGAGATTTTGCAGCATGAAAGCTTGGTATGAATGACTGTACAGTGTTGCCTTATATTTCACTGACAGAAGACATCCACGTTTAAGAGTCGCTCACCCCTGTATTGAACAAGAGCCATTGTGCTGAGATGATATGGTCTCTGGCGACATCCCCACAGCTCTGCACTCTATTTCTGCCCCCGGCCTGTTTATGAATATGAACTTTAGAGAGAGGCAAGATACTGGAACAGTACATGACATTTGAGACTGCCTTGGTGCAACAAAAAACCGTACATGTGTGTCTTCTTACTTGTGGAAACTGGAAACCTGCCTTCTGATTATTGAAATTTTAACATCATTTCCATCCTTGGTAAAAAAAAAATCACAATTTGTCCTGTTGTGCTCAGGACTTTTTTTCTGAATAAAATACAAAAATGAGTAAGCTACTATCCTTTTGTTTGTCGTTTTCCAATGGTTCTCAACACAAAAGGGATGAATGTAGGCATCAAACATTGCTAGTAAAATTAACTATATTTAAATGAGCTGAATAAAGTTTTTAAACTGACTATCATCCTCTGTTGAAAAGAAACTAAATAAAACCCCAAGTATTATTTTTATGATGAAAGAGAGGTTTGTTTCAGGAGTAAAATCTCCCATAAAATTGCATGTGTACGTGTCCGAGACCTAAAGCTGGCACGTAAAGGAATTTGCTTCTATGGTTTAACCTACGGCAAACTTGTATAGCATAACGGGATGAGAGTCCGTTACTTTATCCAACAATAAATCGGTATGTACGATCCAAACCATATTGGATCTTTGATTAATTGGCATTTTAAAACAATTAAATAAAATTTGTTCGGTGTGGTGGGAAGAAATGGTATCTGACTTTGACCCTTAAAGCATTCAAATGAAACGTAATCAATCAATTAACTTTTCAGTGTTTTCGCCTGTCACTTGGTTAAGAACACATAGTTGATGGTTGAGAAAAGGGCAATTACTTCGCAGCGATACTACTATACGACCTGACCTGACCCAATTCCTGATGGATTGATTGTTATTATAAAAACAGATGACTTGCAAAAATGTTTAGACGTGGTTTATGTTAACACTAAGTGCAAAATCTTGCTTGGTGAGTAGTGATGTATTTGGGATGTGTTTTTTTTTTATTTTAAATATTTAAATGGCACTGTGGAAACTTGCCTCTAGCTCTAGTTACAGTATCATTATTAGCGTACGGTACCTAGCTGAAACGGCAGAGCCAGAGGCAAACTGATTGTAGAGAGGTGGTTTTCCAGTGTCCTCAGAAACTCGGGGCCCTCCCAGTCCGCCTGCCCGAGGGGATTTACACACATTACTGACAGTGGCAATATGTGTCTACCACAACATATCGACATATCATAGCTGATGTACTTGATACGGTGAAAAGGAATGCCCTTGGTGTCTTTCACTTAATTCAGTTGTGTTCACAATGAGCTAGCCATGGCAGAAAAGAGACATTGATCAAAGTCACCGAAAACATTGGACAAATAATTGCGTATTATAATCAACTACAAAATTATGTGCACATTAATATTAACAAATTGTTTAGTAAGTTAACATACCTCTGTAGTTACTATATTGTAGTAATTATATAAGCTCAAAAATTAAAGTTTTCCATTATTATTATTGTTATTATTTTTTTAGAAATGTCTATTGCCTGTCATCATCTCCCAGACTGTTTATAGCCAGCTGCGGATACCCAGTCCATTTGATCTGCCACGGGCAGCCTTTGTCAGTTTTGTTACCTCTGATAATAACACAGGTGGCGGCATGAGTCGCAAGGTGGTACAGACAGTTTTGAGTGTTGAACAGGATGAAGGCATGGGGGCTAGAGTGAGGCGGAGTGTGGGAAGAGCTGAGGTGAGAATTAGAATGGAAAAGATATATATGTACAATTGCCAACATTATAGCCCTACTAGTAGCCTGGGATTCAGACTTGAAGATTCTGAACTTCTTCATTTTTAAATTTGCATGCACATACATGTATGTCTGCATAGCCAGTAAAGCATATTTGTATGTCAAGTTTTTAAAATGTTCATTAACAGATATGCAGATCAATCTGTATAGTACTCAGATGGCCCATGCAGGTCTCTCTATTTATATATTAATACTAAAGGTCTGGAAAAAATGTTAGATGAATAGTCAATATTTCAGACTTCAGTTTACATATTATATCTTTATAATTATACTCTAAGATGACTATGATCCTCCCATGCAGTTGTGAAAATTTTTGTTACTTTTTTTTTCTTAGCTGAAGAATTTGGATCCATTTTTGCTGCTGGATGAGTTTAGAGTGACCGCGCCAGCAGGATTCCCAGACCACCCTCACAGAGGCTTTGAAACTGTGAGTTTTTATGAGCAAGCAATTGGAGTAAAATGCAAGATAGAGAAATCAATATATTGACACATTTTTCTGCATATTTTTGATGGTTGGTTTCTTTTGTTTTATTGTGTAATTATTGTCACTAGTAGATTCATTCAGATAACAGGCCATGATTGTAATGGAGTAAAATGTATCTTCAACTAAAGTTTATAATAAATTGAAGATTGATATAGAAAAAACAAAAGAAATTTATCATAGTGGTTATACACATTAAAAATGTAAAAAGCTTTCATACCTGGTCCATTTCAAACTCAATTGTTGAGAATACAAAAAAAACAAAAACAAACAAACTTCCCAGCAGTTTTTGTAGTTGTAGGCCTCAGTGGCTTTAATTTTTCTATTATGTGATCATAATAGGAAGCACTAGCTGATGGTATTGTTTTTTTCCAGGTGACTTACATGTTAAATGGGGCATTTCGACATGAAGATTTCTGTGGACATAAAGGCATAATCAATGCAGGGGATTTACAGGTAATGGTATTGTTACCATTTAGGGACCGTTCACATGAAAAATATATTTTCTAAAAATCTAAAAATCTATTTGCGGTATGTTGTGATCATGGTCTGTGCCCTGAATACCCCACGGCGTAATTACGGGCAGCGTGAGCCTGTTACTTCCAAAGCTGTAATTAATTCTCGGCGCAGGCAGTAATTACGCCGCGGTTTTCAGGGCACAGACCGTGATCACAACATACCGCAAATAGATTTTTAGATTTTTAGAAAATAGATTTTTCATGTGAACACAGCCTAAGTCTTGTTCACATAATCATAAATGCTGAGGTTGACTGAAATTTGGTGCTTCAGTATTTTTATTTTATGATTATTAAATAATGATAGTATTTTGGTGAAAGTGAACTTATGATTCTTAAATAAGATTGAATATTTTAATATTAAAATTTTGATTTTATATTCATTTTAAAGGTAAAAAAAATTTCCTTTTGGCTCATTTTTTTATTGTGACTATATTTCCCAGCTTGGTGTCTGGTACATGTATGGCCATTTCCCCCCCCCCCCCCCAAAAAAAAGAAACCTGAGTCACATAAGTGATGCACACATTTTGTGTAATATTTGGTTAGATTTAACTGATTTATACCACTTCTTAGGGACCATTCCTATAGATATTTGGATCGATCAATCTCCCTGGGGAGTCTCACTAAATTGCTGTCAACTTGGCCAGCTTAAGTGTCTGTCATGCCTAGTAATTATCTTTACCCCTTAGCTGATTTGGTAGGCGTGACAGACATTTAAACCTCTTGAGCTGATATCAATTTAGCCTGAATCCTCAGGGAGTTAGATCGATCCACTCGGGGAGGGCACTATAAAGTATAAAATGGCAAAAATACTAGGACAAGCCAGAATTATGCAAATATTATATGCAAAATGTGAATGTCACTGACAGGACTCAGAGTCACTTTTTAAGTGAAACGATCCCTATATTAAATATGGAAGTGGACGACTCAATCCTCACTCCTTCCTGTGATTTCAGTGGATGACAGCAGGAAGGGGCATAGTGCACTGTGAGATGCCGCATGGAGATAAAGAAGGTCATGGTCTACAGCTGTGGGTGAACTTGAGCAAGAAAGACAAAATGATCAAACCAGCTTATCAGGAACTTTTGGACAAGGACATCCCAAAAGGAGAGAAGGATGGAGTCACAGCTAAGGTTATTGCTGGAGAGGCTTTGGGTATAAAGGTAAGGGTCCAAGTACTCAGTACACTGTATATGTGTGATTCATATCAAGTCATCATATATTTAGATCTTTGAGAAATAGATAAGTTATTATATTATGCATGCATGTTTATGTGAGAGTGTTTGTGTATGTGCATGTGCACCTGTATTTGTGCATGCATGTGTGTTCAAGTGTTTGTGTATATGTGTGTGACATGTGTGCTTGCATGTATGTGTGAGTTACGGGAAAGCCATTAGTACATTGTAATACTAAGTGGTTTATAAGCTAGCTGGTATTTATATACTTAAATTTTGATTCTCAGAATAATACTTGCTGTTAGTGCAGTCTCTCTCTATATAAATATGTTCCAGTCTCCTGTGTACACCAGAACACCTACTCTATACATAGACTTCACAATGGCCCCTGGGTCCAGGCTGTCTCAGGCCGTACCCCGGGGATGGACTGCATTTGTCTACACTCTCTCAGGGGAGGCATACTTTGGTAAGGGGTCTGGACGATATCATATGACCTTCTGGACAAGTAACAGTGAAAACTTGAAAATTTCGTCACTTAGAAATTAATTAATGTTTTTAAATGCATGAATCTTACACACTCACATGAGGTGTCAAACTTTTCAAAAATTATGAAGAGGCCCATTTTGAAGTATGACAAAATGTTCAAAGTGACAGTGTATTAATGATCGATTACATCTGTAATTTAAGGTGGAACTCATGGAAAACCTCACCACACCCTGGTGCTGGGGGATGGGGAGACACTGGAGGTGGAGAATAAGGTGAGCAGGGTGTGGGAAGCACTGTCCCAGTTGTATTTATGACCCTGTTCCCATACCTAGATTGATCTAGCAAGACCAACCCATCTCTGAGGGGTTTCTCGCTAAACTGCATTCTGCCTAAGGGGCTTAGATGTCTGGCATGCATACTCAAGCTGTTAGGGGGTAATTAAATATCATTTGGTAGCTTCAGTAGGTGTGCCAGAGATCTAAGCCGCTTAAGCTGACTGCACTTTAGCGAAAATCTCTTTGGAGTTGGGTCAATCCTGTGAGATCAAGTAGGTATGGGAATGGGGTCTAAGTATTACCCATTTTAAACATTGGCTATATGTTGTGTGGAGGTAGAGAGAGAGAGAGAGAGAGAGAGTGTGTGTGTGTGTGTGTGTGTGTGTGTGTGTGTGTGTGTGTGTGTGTGTGTGTGAGAGAGAGAGAGAGAGAGATCAGCAAACTGATAAAGAATATGATGATGTAATTTAAAGGCATTCTCTTTTGTGGTATTGCTTATGATGCAGATATTGTCAGAAGGTGGAAGGACATTTAGATTAATCTGTGAATTTCAAGGGACTCTGTATAATTCTAGTTGCATATATTTTTTGTTATTTTAGGGCAAAGAATCCTGTCACTTTGTGCTCATTGGAGGGATGCCAATAAAAGAACCTGTGGTACAATATGGTAAGTAACATTGGGTCATATACAGTAATGTTTGATGTCAGTGTATCTGGTAGTGCTTGGTGATGGGAAATTTCTTTTTGGCAACACCTGTAATGAGAAATTGGATTTTAATAATTGTTAAGATGGAAACCTTTTCTTGATAAAACAATCTGTTGAGGACGGTAGAAATCTCATTTTAAAACAGGGCATCAGAATTTCTTAACAGAAAAAATTAGATACTTTATGGTTACAGATGTGGTTATTTTGAAATTAAAAAAAAAATTGAGGCCTTTGAGCAGCCTTTAGTTTCCTATTTTGCTTGTTGTTGGGTTGGTTTTTATGACAGAGTAGCCTCTCTTTCTCATTTAAATTCACTCAAGAAAAAAAAGCAAAACCACCTATTAGATCTTTAATTTTGTATTGGTCAGGTCCCTTTGTAATGAACACACGAGAAGAAATTTCCCAAACTATGCAGGACTACCAGCTGGGGAGGAATGGTTTTGAGAATGCAAAAAAATGGGCTAGTGGTAATACTTAGAGAACAGGTAAGGGAAGGTCTTTTTATTTTTTACTACACTTTGGTACAGGGGCGGATTGAGGCCATCTTCTGGGTTTTCCAGACGAAGACGATCAGGTTTTCAATTTTATGTTGAAGGGTATCTAATGTTTTCTGTCGGAAGACGGTCAATACAGGATAGATTAACAAAGATAATTTGGAAGACTGTCAGAATATATCTCTGGATCCGCCCCTGAGGTACATGTATGTTAGACTAGTAAAAGTAAGGTAGTCATTGAAAGTACTGCCAACAGATGACAGGTTGTACTTCGTATTCACCATTAATGTGGACTCAATTGGGATTTGCAGAAAAATTTAATATAATATGAAACATGAAAAAAAACTTTTTAAAAAACACTTCCTGCTTGGTTAGTCATAGAATGCTTTTCATCAGCTGTGTTATATTTTAAGAATAACAAAAAGTTTAAGTAGTGGGAAATGTAGAGAAGGCAATGTAGGTAAACAATATCAGTATTCAATTTAGATGTTGATTGAAGAAAAATGACTGAAAATATTCTTTCTTCTTGGTATAAGTATCTGCAGATGCGGGTTTGGCTGTTTTACTAAATATAATGTCCTGCACACCTTGTTTAATGTTGGAAATGTATTGTTTGATATTTGACTTTTAAATTTGCAATTTCATATGGATTTTATTCTCATCTGTGAAAACCAGAGCAATTTGGAGTCAATGACAAACATTTGTTCAGCTATGGATATTTCAAAGGAAAAAATATTACTTGATTTTTGACATTTTTTTTCTGCCACAGGACCATTTGTGATGACAACAGATGAAGAAATCAAAGAAGCTATGGCAGACTATCATCATGACAGGAATGGGTTTGAAAATGCGAGCAGTTGGAATTCATTTGTGGTCACAGAAGATGATTTACCACCGCCATAGTTGCCTAGACTTGCCATGTTGTAATTCATGCCAATGTTGATACATCATCTCTCATATTGGACACAAGATTGTTTTATTTGTATGTTTTAAAATGTTGTTGAGAAGAAAACGCACAAAGTACATTCTGCATTCAACATAAAGACTGTCAGTAAAGTCATGTCATCAGTGTAGAAGACTCATCTTTTATCTGAAATCTGTGACTAACTTTAGAAATCAGAAAATTTTACTTTATTCTTCTTTATATAAGGCAGCTATAGGTAAACAAGTCATGTGCATAGCATTTTACATTTAACTTCTGAATCTTTACTTAAACAGTGGGGAGTGGAGAATGTGATAAACAATTTTGAAGACGTACTTATTTTGATATAATTCAAGTATTGAAGTGGTGTGCTTTTATCTCAAGCAAATAGCCGTGACTAACTTAAAAGAAAGTGGTTGGGATTTTAATTAATTTTTTTTACTTGAATTTTTATGCAACAATGATTGCAGTGCATATTTTGTATGAAGGAACAACAGTAATTGGACCTTGGGATTCTTGGTGTTGGATGGTTTATTATTTTTATTATTACTCTTTTTTACATAAAGATGATTTTTTATTTCAAATCTCAATAGAAGTTTTTAATGTCACTGCTTTTCTCAGTTTCATCATGTATATGACTGTCAGGTTGACAGCTTTGCTGTCTAAATTGTTCAAAGATATTGTCTATTTCAGTTAATTTTGATCTCCTTCATCAGATATGTTTTACACTTAAACTGTATGTGGCATTACCTCGATGTGGTGTAGGTCTGAAAATGTGTTTTTGTTTTGTAAAAAAAAACTTATAGATATTTCTTACAATAAATTGCAAGGCAAATTAAATTTTTTTCTGTGCTTTAGTGTATTGGTTAAATTTGTTCTCAACCCATATTTACTTTGTTTATGCATCTGATTTCATAAATCCAAGCCCTGCTAATTTATACTCAAATGACTCTTTTTGCATGTTTAACAATCTTAAACAAGGGCTATAAATTGAAAAATATTATTTTAACACAAATAACTGTAATGCCAGTGCTGTCTGGTATGTATGTTACACCATTTAAAGGAACATGGCTTATGCTGAAGGTCGAAAAAAATGTTGCTAAAAATTCGCAGTGAACTTCCCTTAATCCTGTGTTACAAATGCCGATCTTTGATTTTAACATTTCAAAATAAATTAAGATATCAGTATGATTAAAACAAAATTTACTTTTCACTTTGTAATAAATCTAAAAAATGAATGTTAAATCAGAATTGGTCTTTGAATAAATATACCCAGAACTGCAGTGTTCACAAAAATTATCATTTTGGTTTTCATTTCAAATCCTTTTCTATTCATTGCAGTCCAGACAGTTCTGAATAACGGTAAATATGTCTGTGGTAATGAAGACATTGATTTCTTTATCTATTTAATTAGAGAGAGCCATAGAAAAGGGCTGTCCTGTTATCTTCCATGTCAAAATAAAAATGTTCACAACCATATACGAACTCCTCCATACTAATAATGCCATTTTGATTGCGGTCAACGGCAGTGAAAAGTTCCTCCGTCGGCAGGGCGTTTCTTGAGATCTCTAGGAATTTGGAGTACTCCCCAGCAGACAGTCCCTCGTCGCAGTCCAAGTCAAAGATGTGGAACCAGTCTAAACACCAATCCAGCTCAAGGCCATCCAGTGTCACATTGCGGATATCCGTTCCAAATAACTCAAGCCACCTGCCCAGGTCAATTGACTGTTCCACGTTGGATATATCTGCGCCCAACCATTTTTGCCATGCTTCGCTCATTATTTCATGTACAGCCTTGGCCCTCCAAGAGGGGAGAACCCGATGAGCTCTCTCCGTCACCTTATCCACGTATTCCTCCTTGTAGACCAAGCCATCCCCGTTGATATCTAACATTCTAAACCCCATGGTCTGTTTCCAAACCCAAAGATCAGACACTTGGGTGTCTTGAAGTATCTGTGTATTACGTGAAATAGGCGTGAATTAAACAAACACTGAGGCTTAACCGTAACTTGTACTTTTTTATTAGCTAAATATTTCGAAAAAAGTTGAATGACATCCCCATATATGTTAGGAAAGTGTGCACAAAACATGGCCTACATTTTAATTAAAATTAATTGAAATATTGAAAACCTTTTGAGCAACTATAAAAATGAAATCTCACCTTTGAATCAGTAAATTCGACGCCGTTAGAGACGAAGAACAGAACAATCATTACTAGTACAAGATCGAACAGACACATAGTTATTTGTCTGAAAAAAGGGTGAATGAAACTGAAATATTTCTGAGAAAAATACAGGTATTTTAAAAAGATGTATATCATGAAAGTCTGTCAATAATGATATCGCTATGATATAAGAATGCAAAAAAAAAAAAAAAAAAAAAAAAAATCAATGTGCAATTGATGAAACTTATTTTTCTCAGGGTTCTTTTCATTTAAATACATTAAAATATATGCTAAATGATGTCTTTGTAAACAAAACAGTTCATTAGCTTGGTAGTTAGATCAAATATGATAATTATAAAACACAAGTTGAAATGTTTACATACCATTAGCTTACGGGCAACCTGGATATAAGCCTTCATCAGAATGATGTGAGTAGATGTTGTTACTTGCTGCAAGGTGGCATAGCGGCTAGCACCATGCACCTAGCGAAAGTCTGAATGTTTCTTTTGTCTGTGCATCATTGTAGTCAGAATTGGAGTATGGGGGCTTCAGTAATCGTCGTTGTATGAGAACAATTGTAAAATTATATACACAACATATGGGTATGTTTACATCTGTATTTAGTTATACTGCTTACAATGTGCAAAAACAATATAATTCACCCTGGGTTATATGGCAGGCCCTCACCACTCACATGGGTAGTTAATAAAAGATGTCCTTAGCCACAGATTATGCAACTAAATGGTTTTAATAGGAATCCAATTAATCTATTTTTATTCTAAATTTTATGTGACTTTGGATTTCAGTCTTGCCTAGCCGGATTTTAAACTAGATACGTATCCTCTTTAGACCGACTGAAATATCAGCGATGTAGATTCAATGTCATCAATTAAAATAATATGGCACTGGCAATAGATTCAGTAACTGTATCCCTTGACAGACATGTTAGTAGAATCAAGGATGACAAATTTGCAATTAGGCTGACAGAATGGTCACGAAGATATGAAGACAGAAAACAAGAAAAATCTCGTAAGACCTGGAGATTTGAGTTAAACGAGAACTGGAAAAAAGTACTTGGAAGTACAAAGCTCAAGACAGATAACACTTAGATTACATAAAATTTTCGAAAAGTTTGCGACATTCCTGATATTTTGCTAAAAGTTAGCGTCTGTCTGTAAAGTGTAATCATGTTTACAAAACCCAAAGGTCCTTTATTTCTCTGTGTACCATGAAGTTTGATCTTGAGTAGGTCCATGGGTGCTCCATTCTCCATACCAGTGTATACATCACACGAGTGCTGTTTATAGCAAGGGCTAAGCCTTTACCAGGCTGCAAACTACCCTTCCCAAAGGCTAAAAAATGAAGAGATTTGACACCCAATGAATTCTTTCCTGCAAAAATTCCTATATGTTTTACTATAAAGCAATGGGTAGCAGGCCCCCTCTATATCCGCCATTGCACTATGAATAACTTTGCCCCCACTCCCCCCCCCCCCACACCCTATGCAAATCTAAATTGCCGTGTTCTGCAAAAGTCACTAACATATTTAACCAACGTTTTATACTTACTTTATAAGGATTAATTTATTCTCCACTGCTTTAAACTGGGAATAAAGACCATTTCTTTTCCATTCTTGAACATTCTAAAGAAAGCTATACCGTGTGGTAATAAGGAGCCACCTTAAATTTTGCAATTATCTAAGTCTCAAGAGAACCATAAAATAAGACGGAGTAATTGTCTTCCATGTCGTAATAAAATGATTCGCAACCATGTAAAAACTCTTCCACGCTAATAATGGCATCTTTGTTTAGGTCAACAGCATTGAAGAGTTCTTCCGGCGGCAATGTGTTCCGGAATATCACTAGAAATTTGGAATACTCCTGTAAAGACATTTCTTCATCGCAGTCTTCATCAAGAACGTGAAACCAGTCCAGGCAAAAATCCAACTCAAGTTCATCCAATCTGACATTAAGGAGGTCCATTCCAAACAACTCAAGCCACCTGTTGAGGTTTATTGGTTGCTCCAATTTGGACGGGTTGCTGTGCAACCAAGCCTGCCAACTGTTGCTCATTACCCCATATAGTGCTTTGGCCCTCCATGACGGGAGAACCCGATGAGCTCTCTTTGCCATTTCGTCCACGTATTCTTCTTTGTAGACCAAACCGTCGTTGTTGACATCTGTTACTCTAAACTGTTCACTGAATTTCTTAATCCAAAGATCAGATACTTGGTTGGCTCGAGGCACCTTGTATTAATTGGAAAAAATCAATGGGTAGTCATTGGTGAAATTAATGTCGTTTGTTCACACAGATTTCAGTTTCAAGGAAGATTATTTTGAAAGTGTGCCCTGAGACTTCTTTGCAACCTGTGTGTGTATTACAATTACTGTGAAAAAATTATATTAGAATGATTTGATAAAAAAATACATTTCCATTTGAAAACTTACCTTAGCAGTGGTCTGCCCGACCGAGTAGCCATAAAATGCGGTGAGTAAAGCGATGACAGCGAATTGATTAAGCAGAGACATGGTTTACTGTTTGAATATTAGAAAAAAAAAACAATCAAAATACAGCCACCATTAATAAATAGCAGCCTGTTAATAAAATGTGATTAAAGGATTTGAATTTAATGGCATTGCCTACTGTATTTTGTACTGTAAATATTCGAAAACAGCAAAAATGATAAGATTTCTATTTTTATAACAAACAAATCAAAATCCCCACATGATAATGAAACGTTTATCCATAAAATTTATTCTTATATGAGTTGCGTTAACTGCATTTTATTGTGCATTGAAAATACCTGTATTACAATCTGGTACACTTGAAAGGAACAGTAACAGACAAAAGTATGGTTTCCACAATTAATAGCCACAGTTATATACAACTAATTATGAGCCTGCATATTGTTATTCTTGTCGAATAACACAATTTAATTTTTATCATACAATCTACTTTCCAATAACTTATTTTAATGTGATAAGTTCTGACTCGCGTCAGTTTGAGCTATCCACTATAACACGATTTATGTTAAAATATAGAGAAGACCGGGCTGTTTGGCCCAGTCAGACACTTTTGGCCTTGTAGAGCCAACTAGGAATGAGTTAGAGTAACAAAACCGATTTCAAAGTAAGTCCCATGATCTAAGCTACATATGTAACGTCGTTATTATTCAAATATAATGCCAGATATGGCTCACAATTTGACAAAAAACGCAACTGATGTCAGGGGGGGCCAACTTGCACCCCCACGGCCAACTAGCCCCAGGTGCACAATTTTTAGATTTGAGGATGGCAGTCGTTTATGGTGCAAGAATGGACTACTTTTATACATTTGAGTAAATTTTGAAACAATTAGCTTTAGTCTGATGCCCAATACGTATACTTCATTCGATCGAAAGCCTATGAAAATAGATTTTTTAATCTCTCAAACAAAATTACTTTTAGGTGCAAAAATTGTTTATTTGGCCTCACCGCCTAAGTAAAACTTTTTAACGTCCGACACTTCCTTAGCATTGTAAGCTACGGTCACTTTTCTAAATGATCAATTTTTTCACCCGTAGTTACTTTTTCATAAATTGATGGGGGCCAACTTACCCCGGGGTCCAACTAGCCCCGATCTCCCCTATGTCTGTT